CCCTACCTCGTAAAACCAGTCCAATCGCTAAAAAATATTCAAAGCACAAAGAAAATACAAAAAATAAACTTATTCCTCGCTGGAATCGGTTGGTGAAAGCCTTTGGTAAGCCAATTAGCCGATATATCTTCTCTTCTCTCGATAAAAGCGGAAGCAAATATGGGGGCATGGAACCTAGTAAGGCTGCCCAGACTGCCAAAGAGATGAGGTGTGGCATAGATGTGATAGGAATCTGCAAAATCAGATGGAAGTGAACTCTCCAAACTCTTAACTGGAGAGTCACTCCACTCCGATCACCCAGGCGACAACCACGAGCACACTGAGGGAGTAGTTATCATGAAATCCCCAAGAGCATCGAAGGCCTTCACGCAGTGATAACCAATCTCCTCAACGATCAGGATCATAACAGCAAGATTAAACTCAAAGGGAAGTAAAGTTACGATCATACACTGTTACGCAATGCACCTACAAATAACGCAGATCAAGAGAAGAAGGGTGAATTCTACAGACAACTGCAATCGGCCGTGGACGAGACCCCACCCCAGATGAAGATATCAAAGTTCTAATGGATGACATGAAGTAGTCTGCCAGGTTCTATCAATATTACAGGATCGTCAGCAGATTGGACAGGGTCGTAGGCGGATGCCTCAAGGGACACTGGCCGAACAGAAATCATGTGTGGTATGCGGCATTCATTGAGCACATTCTTACCCTTGAAAAAGCCAGCGATCGCACTGAAACATCAGACAGACATATGGAAACGTATCTGCAAATATCAGAAGCCTTGCATACCGGTATGCCAAAGGAATACACATGGGACGCGCAAAGCCGTTCCAGAAATAACATCGAGGCTGTCGTCGCGGAGGCTGAATGCTACAAATGTGGCTGCGCGGAGTGACCAGTCACCCTGCTTAGTATTATAACACGCTTCACAACCCAAAAAGCCGTGCGATATCTCAAAAGGGTGGCAAACACGTACACAGAATATGAAACGTGCAGTCATGTTTTCTTCGTATGCAACGATCACAAGGTTGAATCTGATCTTCAGCCATGTGAGTGTACTTGTGGAGCACTCACGACACGTCGTTATCCATGCAGAAACTTGCTTCTGATACATCTAAAAGGCCCGCTTCCACAAAGGTGTCCTCCTTTATTTATAGCCCATCTACATTTTGTAGGTAATCGTGCTACCAGAGATTACCAACGTCTGACCTGGTTGGAGGTTTCTGACGCGTCACCTAGCATGTCAGGAGTCTGGCTTTCGAAACTATTCTATCAACCCATTCGCGAAACGCGCACTATAGGGTCGAATTGACTTCACTTACTCGAAACGTATCGTGATGAACCTGTAACTGTATATTTACATGTATTCCATCTGTGCTCCCATTTCATTGCCCAAAGTAAAAGGGTTAGTGCTTGTTGCTTCATCAAGTAGGAAGCCGCAAACGATGTTCATCGTGTGTTCGGCAAGCATTAGTGCTTGCACGCGGACAGCTGAAATACGAAAGTGTCTCCGGATGGCACTCTTACTTCTCAAAATGTATACCGGAGTGCACGTAATATACTTCATGGTGCTGAAAAATGGTGTGAGGATGAGGGGGTTGGACTAGCATTTCCTATTAAAGTGAAACCAGCAAAAGTGGATAGAAAGATTTGTCGTAGCATGATCAACGCAAATACACCCTTTGGTTGTACAAAGTCAATTTACTGTTATACTCATAGACTCCTAAAAATGTCATTAATGTATCCCTTAGCTGGGAGGCAGGAGGATGGGATTTGCGTTATAACCCACGGCATTTAGTTTTTCACAGGGACGACCGGTATTTCAGGAACCAGTATGGAGCATCCAAAGATGCCGATTTAAGAAGCGAAATGTGGCAGCAAACAAAGCCCACTAACTACTTATGTGGTGCTGATTTTCATTGCGTAGTACCAATAACTGAGTGTCGTAACATCACCACCAACTGAGGTACATGACCTCCGGGGCTTGCATATTTCTAGACCTTCCTATTCAAGTCTCCAGGCAAACGCTGGGCACCTTAAACGAACGCACCATGCTACTTGATGAGTTAACCTAAGACACGTGAGTACAGTGCTGTACCACCTATATGGATCCACAATAAGAAGGTATCCTGACGGGGTGCCAGTCTACGTCGATATTTCCCTGGCATATAATTAGTTTTGCCAAAAGTAGAAGCTGCTTTGTTTCATCTAACCCAAGCGCTATATAACAACTTTTATCTCTCAGGGGCACCACACCTTCACTGCAAACTAAGAGCCGACACATGCATCCACCTTTGTTTATGATGCAGAACCCAAGTATAACTTTCGTAAGCATAACGTCTCCAATGAGAAGGCTCATGAATTTCGTCCACTTTTCCCATTCCAAATGACATACCGCAGAGATCAAATTCGCCTGTCTTTCAGTGAGTCGGGCAACTATTTTTTGCCAGGTATAAGATCATATGGAAATCTTGAGAGGGATGAATGGTGGTACAGGTATACATGATTAGCGTTGAAGTATGCAGTACTGTCAAAAAGTTCTGTCCTGTTAGATGAAGTACAAGGGAAATTTGTTACGTAGAATCCTTGAGAATATGTTGCCTTTGAAGTCACTGGTAAGTTGATCCATTAGATTTAATTATCCTTCCAAATTCTCACTGTCACTTCGACTGCCCAGAAATACGAATAATTCGAGGACAGAGAAATGCGCACGCAGAAACGGAGACAAATAGGTGAATAGGGCAGGTAAAGATGAATCTGTACGCTTCTTTCTCACGTGGTTCTTGATTACATCAAGTTTCAAGTTTCCTGTTGTGTCTGACTGCTTGTTACTGTATATTTTTAGCGATATTTTGATCTATCCCGTATATTCGGTTTACAGCTCCGCTGTTCTCCTCACGTAGTGTGCTTCCACCGTTTCGGTGTTCTACCTTTAGCCGTTCGCTGTTTTGCTACTTCCTTAAGGCATGCTAAGTCGCTGGACAGTTCCATATTCCATCCTTTCTGAGGGTATAATGGTTTGGTGGCATTGATCAGGGATTATCCTGGCTGTTGTGCTACCTAGATGGGAGAGAGTACGATCAAGATGGTGTGTTCAATTTACACGTCATCGCTGTCCGGTGTCTCACAGGAAGCAGTTCTAGATCGGTTGATCTTCCAGCTCTTCACTAATGACTTTTTAGAAAGCCCCGGCCATGTGATCCCAGTTTAAGCCGGAGGTCAAGGTATCCAGTGCTGCAACATCCGAAACTAGGGATTGGATGTATTGCACGGCGATCGCAGAGTTGTCAGAAAGTTGGTGAAAAATAGAAGAGAGCTTTCCTCCCCACTCCCGACTTGTAGAATGTGTTTCACTCCTAGTGGTACACACCTTTCCCGCACTATCTGGGCTTGATGTCGACCGAAAAACTTTGCGCTTTCTCAAATTATTCAGGAGATGTCTACGTTTTCTATGTAGTGTAAAGTTTCGTGTGCAGACAACTAGGTGCCCATACTTCGAAGCTACACAAGACCTGCATGCAACCTAACCTAGAGGTTTGCGACTCCTCTGCCCCAGCTCACCCTAAAAGTCTGCCTAGCGATAGTCGTTCCATATACCCAGTCTGCGAGATTACTCCTACTAGTAATGGTGATCATCAGCTTATTCCAGAAAATCTTTGGTACAGCTTGGAAGTTCCAACGTGAGGGATATAAGCCACTGTTTGTTGCCGTTGGATAGGTGGCGGCTTCATAACGGCTGACACGTTTCTAAGCCGTCCAAATCATCTGGAAAAACAAATATTACTGGTGAATCACCATGGCAGTCCTCATGGAAACGCAAACGGAGTTAACCGTCGAACAGTTTAGACGTGTGCGTTTTCATAAATTTCCCCCCGAGTCTGCCGTCTCTAGAAGGCGTTGTCTGTTGAGGTAGAGATCTCTCCATCAGTTGTCGTCCCAAAGTAAAGTTTGAACGGTTAGATGACTTTTGCTCATCTCTGTGAAATACGAACTAGGCTGAAGAAAACAAATGATGTCACACCAATTCAACATTTTGCCATTTTCACGCCGACTGTCCCCCACCGTGCTACTGTTATAGAATTTATTCTGTCCCGAACCTCCCTATTGAATGTCTTGCCGCTCCAGCTAACACCTCATTCTATTTTCATTTCCATCGTCCCTGCCGTGGTTTTCCCTGTTTTATTTCAACCATCGTGCCGTCTATGATTTAACCTTGTTCATTCAGGTTCTTCATATCACCGTTTTCTTCCCGACTTGCCCGAATTTACCCAGATCTTCCATATGATTTAACCTCCATTCCTTCTTTTTGCTCCTCCCCTCTCCATTGCCTTCATTTCTCATCCCTACTTTACGGCTAGTGCGAACAACTGTGTGGCTAGATAACATCTATACCACATTGTCAGTGGAAGTCGTATTTGATCGACAATCTGTCATGTGTGGGGTTCGCCGGTGGTGCAGAAAGCGAGGAGATGGATAAGAAGCATCCAAACCCGCCAAAGACATGGAACGTTCAAAAGAACCAGCAGTGGGAACTAATACACCAAGTGGTCAACGAAAGTTCGCGATTTAGTTATCAAGCACTGGATCTGGTTGTGTTTCATAAACGTAGGATAACCCCATTCTTTCTTAAATTCTGGGAATATTGGTTTGCCAGGCACAAAGCCAGTGAAAAATGAGTCACTAGACCATCTTGGAGGTGAACCAAGTGATATGTTGGCTGGCACGCTTCCTCACTTCTTGGTTTTCCGTGAAAGTCCTCTGGTTCTTGCGACAAGTGTCCCAACATTTCTTTCGTCTTCATAAACCTTCCAACCTCCACTGTCTTCGTTATCCGCTTCTTACTCCGTAAGTACTTCCGTATGACATTTAGGTAAATGAAACCTAATTTCAGTCCACTTAGTATCCGATTGCCTCGAATACACGTAATGACACTGAAACAACGCGCAGTAAAACATCTTAACGACAATGTCCAAAATTTCGATTGTTTTGCTGGGTCACTCACATTGGTTGGCCTTGGAATGTCGAATAAATGGTAGAGGGGATTTGATTGAGATGGAGATCGCTTTTTCCGAGGAGCTTTTAAGGATATACTACAGAAGACTTTTCCCATGTGATTTGTTCTCTCAGTGGCTTACGTATGGGTCACGGAGTAACGGAGTATGTGATTTTCTCTGACACCTGCAGCTTTCTAGAAGAGAGTTCAGTTTTACATTAAACGGCGATATCTATTTGCGATATCAGAGTTTCGATTCTGCATCAGATCTCAAGAAAGAATTAGTGAAACTTTGCCCTATTAAGATAGATATAGGAGCAGTATATTCAAATGCACCGAAGCTCCACCGTTCCGTCTTGTCATCCTCCTTCAAGGTGTGAAGATTTTCTGGTGCTAATGCATTTTAATCTTGAATATTTATGCGGTTAATCTGTCTATGGATCAATGAAGCTCTTGTTTGATTTATACACTGAGTTGATATGCAGTTGGAACATTTATGCCCCTGAAGTCTTTCTTTAAGCTTGTCTTGGTGTCCACATATATATCCATAGGACTGATGTAGGAAAAAAAGGGTTATGTGGCAGAACCTGCTTTCAAATTACGTTGTGTATTTGATGCCACAATAATTCGGTATCACTGGGTGACACCACCCACCACGTGATATTCATATAGGCAGTTTTATAGAGCTAACCTTACCGCTGAAATCTTGCTACCACTCAAGTAGTTTACCTAGGTAGCAGCCAAACAAAACTTATTTAGTTATCCTTCATCAGGGTTTGTTGTGTTTTTCTGCATAGTGGGTTGACTAACTAACTGCATATATTTTGTGTGGTCTTTTTACCCCTGGCACACAGAAACTAATAGAATACTACATAGACCCAGAAGTTACTACGTTACGATCCAAATTGCCATACCTCATATCAGCGCATCAGGTAACTAAGCAGTAAAGTGGAAGGTGAAGAAGGAAAGGAAAACTGATCGAAGAAATAAGAAATAGTGAAAGAGAGGAAGGAGTAATGAGACAATGATGAGCTTAAGATAGGGATAATGTATGTATACATCTACGCCACTGACATGGTTCTGACACTGGGCATTCTGTCTCACAACATGGAGAAGCGGTGAATTTCTACTGGTACGTTTTAGATGTCATGAGAGACTTATCTTGTCTGTTGCTTCCTCGGAGAGTATTTAGTGTCTGTACTGGCGTTAAGTATCGCAAGTCATATTTAACATAAAAGTACACATGCAAGTACGGTGATGGCTGGAGCTGAACAACTGGTATCTCAGTAGCATCGTTCCTATTTGTAATACCTTTCCTCATTAGCTTCGTTCAACCGGTGTTTTGCTCACCTTAGCAGCTCCTGTGTTAAGAGCTACTTCTGAATTTTTAGAATATTTGGTGGCTGCTAGTTCATAGCTTAGCTAGAAATAAAAACTGTTATGTTGAGTGATATGCATCGCAGGCATCTGGGTAGGGCTGGACTGATCAAGAGATTCAGTGGTTAAAGTTGTCATTTTCGACCAAACGACAAAGTCAATCGAATTAATCTTAAGCTACCAGTAGACGAAAAGTAACTTTTAATTAATTTTTTTTATCCCTTGGGTTCCTAGTGGAACATAGGGCTTCAGTAGCAATCTTGTCAACCTCCCTCCACGGCTGCCCAGAAGCCTTCATTTCTTCCTCACACGATCCCCTCCATGTCACCCTCGGACACCAACTCGTCGTTTCCCTTTGAGTTCCACCCGAGAGCCTGGCCTGGCACGTAATGTCTAATCCATCTCCACTTTCTTCTGCATATTTGTTGGGCGAGAGGTTCTTAGTTAGTTCGTTGACAGAGTGACTTCCTTGTTGCTTGTTCTTTCTGGTCATCTGATCTCCAGTATCAGTATCAAGCGTAGGCGGCAGCTGTTGATGTATGTATGCGGTTTGTTGGAAATGCTTTTCGTAACCCGCAAAGTCCCTTAACTATATAGAAGCACTGAGTTGACTGAATTAGTGTTAGAAATCCGGATCTTGTTCACTCTTTATGCCGACTGCAATGCAGTTGATCTCCACACTGATTTAAGATTAGTGAAGGAAGGCCTGTCTTGCTTGCTGTTCTGATCCTGGCTTTGATATCCTCATCTGTGCCTGTGCCGCCTGTAGTTGAAACGATGCTGCCTAGGTAGTAGGTAGGTGGAAGAGACTACTTCCTTTAGATTTCTCCCGTCGATGGTGATTGGTGCCTCTTGTTGTTGTTGGTTGAGTGTCTTCATCACCTCTGTCTTTTCTACGTTCACCTGAAGAAAGTCCCATCTTCGCTGCCCTGCCTCTTCTGCCAACTTGTTAGTTTTCACCCGTAGATCTTCGAGTTTGTGTGACAGGCATAAATCATCACAGGCGAGATCCAAATCTTCTAGGGTTTCTTCATCAGTCCATTGTATGCCCCTCTTCTCACTCTTCACAGTTTGTTGCATGATCCAGTCGACCACAATCAGGAAGATCATCAGTGATAGTAGGTGGCAACCTTGTTTTACTCCTGTCCTCACTTCAAACGCATCACTGAGCTTTCCATTGTCAATCACTCGGCATGCAGCATCATATGGCATATAGCTGTTGAATGAGGTTAATAAAGGTTTGTGACACTAAAACTGTAGTGTCAAAGCAGTTGCCAAATTACTTCTCGGTCGACGTCTCGATCGAAGGTCTTTGCAAGCTCGACGAAGTTGAGGTAAAGCTCCAGTTGACTGGCATTCCATGCTCTGTTATATGATGATACATAGCGTAGCGTTGCGATTCGATCCGCACATGATTTGTTTTTCCTGAAGCCAGCCAGCCAGCCAGCCTGCTCCGGTTGTAATTTTGAATCCAGAGCATTTTTAGTCTCTCCAGGGTGATGCGGCTTAATATTTTGCTTTGAGTGGACAGGAGCATGATTCCCTGCCAGTTCTTGCAAAGAATTAGGTTGCCCTTCTTTGGGAGTTTGACAAGATAGCCCTTCTTCTCTTCAACGGATAGGTACCTTTCCTTCTTTGCAAACCTTCTGCACTAGTGGTGTGGTGTGAGCATGTCTGCTGTTGTCTGTGCGTCAGTTTTCAGTGCTTCTGAAAGAATCCCATTTAGTCCTGCTGCTTTGCCGGCTTTCAGTGACTTTATGGCGTTCAGGACTTCACTCCTACTTTCGTCAGAGGCTTTGTGTTCACCGATAATTTTGCGACTGCTCGTGGTATTTCTGGACGAGTTGAAGGTGATAGTGGTCGATTCAAAAGTGTTTTGAAGTGGTCAGCCCATCGTTTCTTTGGTTTCTCCTCTTTCGAGTTGACTGAGGTTCCTTCACTATCTTTCATTGGTTTCATCTGCGTTGATCTCTTCCCTCCCAGATAGTGACCTGGTTATTTGATATAGTGTTGTTAGGTCTCTCTTACCGGCCTACAGCCTGTTCTGCTTTACTTGCCAATGTGTCGTAGAAGTGTCTTCTGTCTTTGGGCGCACTCTTCTTCACTTCTTTGTTCAGTATAGTGTTTTATAGGTTGTGTTCAGTCCCTCTTTTCGTCGTTCATCCCTGCACTGCACTGCACTGCACTGCTTCACCATCTTCTCCCTGCTCTATCAGCTTCCATGTTTCCGTTGAGATCCATACCTTGTCTTGATTCTTCTTCCTTCGTAACACGGTTATGCAGGTTTCCTTTCACATCTCTTTGAAAGAGTTCTAGTGTTCTTCCACACAGGTTTCTTCAGGGATGTTGCTTGATGTCTCCAATTTTTCTCTGATGACTGATGATGTGGAGATATCCTTTGTAGTTTCGTTCTTCAGTTTCTGTTCTGGGTGTTGAACTTGAACTGTGGTCTATGATCAGTAACTTCCTTGAAGGCTTGCAACTTGATTTTGAAGGTAGGTTCTTTACACTAGATAGTGCGTAGTTTGAACCTACACCTACTCCTCTTCTTGATCTTGTGTCCAGTAGGCTGCGTCTCCACTTTCTTCACGTTGAGATGAAGTTAATCTGATTTTCAGCGTGTCTATCTGATGAAATCAAATCCATGTCACTTTGTGAATAATACTTGTGTTTGTACACAGTGCCTCCAGTCACCAAATCATTAAGTACGCAGAAGTTTGCAAAGAATTCTCTATTCTTATTCGTTTCAGCAAGTGCTTCTGGACTCATGATTGGTTCTCTTGTGTTGTCTGCTCCAAGTTCGGCCTTCATGTCATCCATTAGAACTTTGATATCTTCATCTGGGGTGGGGTCTCGTCCACGGCCGATTGCAGTTGTCTGTAGAATTCACCCTTCTTCTCTTGATCTGCGTTATTTGTAGGTGCATTGCGTAACAGTGTATGATCGTAACTTTACTTCCCTTTGAGTTTAATCTTGCTGTTATGATCCTGATCGTTGAGGAGATTGGTTATCACTGCGTGAAGGCCTTCGATGCTCTTGGGGATTTCATGATAACTACTCCCTCAGTGTGCTCGTGGTTGTCGCCTGGGTGATCGGAGTGGAGTGACTCTCCAGTTAAGAGTTTGGAGAGTTCACTTCCATCTGATTTTGCAGATTCCTATCACATCTATGCCACACCTCATCTCTTTGGCAGTCTGGGCAGCCTTACTAGGTTCCATGCCCCCATATTTGCTTCCGCTTTTATCGAGAGAAGAGAAGATATATCGGCTAATTGGCTTACCAAAGGCTTTCACCAACCGATTCCAGCGAGGAATAAGTTTATTTTTTGTATTTTCTTTGTGCTTTGAATATTTTTTAGCGATTGGACTGGTTTTACGAGGTAGGGTTGCTAGCCCTATGCCCAACTTTCCTTCTTCATCTAAGCTTACGACCGGCTAGTTACCAGTGAACTGGGCGAGGTTGTCGAAAAGCATAGGATCTATTAATCCGATCTTCTTTCGTCCATTACTTCCAAAGTAGTATCTTACCTTGCTTCACTTTCATGTGATGCCTCCTTTAAGGAATTATTTTATGAAGTATTTTGTTTGGAAGCTGTTCATCATAAAATATTGCCATAATCCACAATAACTCATGGGAAGTGAGTAGAAAAACGATTTTGTAGTAAGTCAATGTATCACAGCTAAGGTAATGAGTTAGGATTAGTATACTATTCGAATTTTTGGCGTTATTAACTGTTGAGTAGTTCTATGCCACCGTAGTTTCTTTGAGTTATGTCAACAAAGAAGTTGTGGCTCATTGATTTAAGGAGATGGTTGTCAACCGGTGTCACGGGTTTAATTCCCACTCCACCTACCGAGGTTTGGGTAGCTTGGTTGTAGTATCAACAGCCTTCACAGAATGTGTGTAGCTCATTGTCTACTGCGTGAATGTATACAAGGTTACTGACTGGATTTCGATTTGATTTCGATTCAGTCAACCATTTCTTAACAAATCGAAGATTTGTCCCAGATTACCTACTCTTTACATGACTGGGCAATATCCCGAGACTTCACAGGCTGTTTCCACGTCCTGGTGTGACCATTCTGAAGTCTCTTTCAACCTGAACTTACCGTGACTAACAGGAGGAGTCGAAATACGAAGCTGATCTGCATGTCTGTCACATTTTTATAACATCTCAACCAGCAGCTAGCAATTTAGTAGACTGGCTTGCTTTTTTTAACTGGCTCTACATCTAACCTCTCTATTGTTTATGCTGTTGGTCTGTCTTACGTGGGTGATGCTACTGTGACACTTGTCACATTTGTCGTCTACTCTCAATGACTAGGCCTTAGAGGTGAATAGCAAGCGGCTGGACAGTAGTCTCGTCTTATCCTTCGCAATCAAATGTCGTGCGGATGCCAAAGATGCCGTTATTCGATGAATGTTGAACCAATTTTTTTAGTATGTTAAAAGTTTGTGTGTGTGTTAGTGGAACTATAACTTCCTAAAGTAACATAATAGTGAACTGATTTCATATCGACCTACTTCTAGACTTGGGTTGAAGGTTCAAAACAATTACTCAGATGCAACAATTAAGAGCTTTTTATCGTCTGGATTGTGTGTGCATCAAGGGTGGTAAAATTTTGCTTACCTTAGAACATGAAATTCTCTTAGGATCGCTATTTCCGTTCTCTAATTTTTCATAGATAAGCATCTTCATAAATTCTTTAGTTATCGTGTCATATGCACGCATTGGCTTTAAAGTCGTTTGTGCTTTGAAAGACAGTTTATAATGTTCATAATATATTTCTTCGGTATTAGTTTGCTCTAATTACTAGGTAACCTGTGGCGACTGATGTTTATTATAGTTTGCTACCCACACTAATCACGTTTGCAATCAAATTAACAATGATGATTTGTGATTGCCGAATTCCTGTTGATACAGAAGTCTTCTGTTATACGGCTGCTTATATCATCTGTTGTACCAGCAACATGTCTAAATATCAACCAACACGTACGCATACTACGCCGTCGATCACTGTCTTAATTTAGGACCTAAGAATATCTATTGTAAGTGAGAATCAGATGTTTTGTGATATATTCATTCAGAGTATGGCTCATATACATGGAAACCATTGGTTACGAATTGTCGTGGTCAAAGATAGGCTGTCGCATAGGAGAGCAGATATATTGACACAGTTGCCTACATGTGTCAGTTAACTTACCCCTACTATTATGTTTGCAAAGCGGCCTTAATAATCGCTGTACTGATGAACCACATCATGTGTTAGTGTTTGTCTTTCAAATGCTCTGAGTTTCAACTATGATATTTTGAAGTTTTTAAAACCTAGTAGTTCTGTTTAGGTTTATCAGTGCAGTTCGAAGTGAACTGTTTTCACTGTCACCCTGTTTGTCCATCTAATCGTTCAGTTTAGTATTTATAGTTCTCATTTCTTTAATCTGTTCAGCTCAGTGGTCAAGCATTTTCCCTTTGTGTCCTTGGAGGCTAGGGTGACTAGAAGTATTACATATTCATCCTGGGATTTTAGGTTTTTGGTATTTAGTTCTTATGATTAGATTATGCGAGTTATTTGGCCCTCAGTTTTGTAAACGGGAACTCTGTTGGGAAATGTGGTAAGAGAGAATCGTCACAACGAATCAGATTATTGCACTAATAGTATGATATGAGGGAAAGAGAGAAACGTGTCTATTTCAGGTTTCTATCTTTGCCCTGATGAAATAGATTCAGCTTTCGACCATTGTTCCAAACTCATCTCCGTGTACAAAGATTAGGGCTATTGAATGGTTTTAATAAACCTCAGATATTAGCCTAGGGTCAGCCTATTGTATCCATATAGTTCGTGTTATCGGTTGAAAGTTTCAGCATCATCATCATCATCATTATCAACATAGGACCAGGCATTACTGCGTAACGGTCCGAGTTGCCACACCTCATATCAGCACATCAAGTAAAAAGGTAGTGAGGCGAAGGATGAAGATAAGTGAATGCAGTCAAAAGAAATATAAAGTACGAAAAGAAAAGAAAGAGGAGTGACAAAATGGTGGGACTCGGTATAGCGTTGTTAAGATGAGGATAATGTATGTATACATCTGCGCCACTGACTTCGGTTCTGAGCCATATCACCTAGGGTCTCCAACCACTGGTTTCTCTTGTCCCGTGGACCCCAACCACCTAGTCTGCATCGTCCTACATGGCTTAAACCAACAGTCAGAGACTTCATACATTGGTGCCATGTTTTAGTCTGGCCACCTCGGGCCTTTTTCCAGGCTGGACCCACCTCAGCCAACATTGTGTGACGAGGCAATCGGTGACTAGGCATACGTAGTACGTGTCCCAACCATCTCAGTCGGGACACGTACTTTTAGGGATCAGTCCTATAGTACGTATCACCAGGACGTCAAACAAAGTTTCAGCACCTGAAAGAAACAATGTACTCTTCACGGATCAGTTTCTCATGCCTTTTGTACAGCCTGCGATATAAAGTAGTGGCCAATACCGGTGGGGAACTGGTATCCCGATGAATATCACATACGTTAAGTGGGTTTTTTCAAAGATGGGTTCACCAAGGACTTCGTTTCAGAGTGATGAAATGCAGTCTACCAAACATTCCCGAACAGTGTACTCAGTTCCCTGACTACATCTTCATTATTAAAAAAAGCGCAATGTTTATTGATAAAGGAGTATTTAAATTCAAATGGGTGTTTTCTTTTGGATTGATGAATTTACTACTTGTCCTCCTGTATTTCAATTGTGCATTGAGTGGATTGGTTTAGTGTGTTATTATAGGAGTGAATTTGTGTTGTATGTAGATAGGCTATTTATTCGAAGTCTGAATGTACTTCGGAACGTTGTGCAGTATGTAACGAGCCACACCTATTGTGTGAGGGTTAGTATCACTACCTGGCTGCCCAAACCTTTTTAGGTGGAGTGGTGTTCGAACCCATAACTCATTGTTTGAAAGTCATCGGCCTGAACCAATGAACCATAGCTCCATAAGGGCACTTAGTTTGTACTACAGGATTAAGGGTCGTTATGACCAGTTATCTATAGACAAAATCAGTCATCACAATTTTCTTCACACGAAATATGATTTTAAAAAACATAATCGACCCTGCTGTTTCAAAACTTGGTATTTTATTTGCACACACTTGTCTACTCTTTGTTGAACAGTGTCAAGACTTTCTTACCTCAGTTACTATCTTCATGTTCTCTAAATTTATGCCAGTTTTAATGAGCGGAGAACGAAACTTTCTTGACAGACAGGGTTTTGTTTTGAACTATGTTCCTCATCATTTGAATATTATTGATCGTTAACTAAGTTTTTATTTTTCTCCAGGCTGTCTTTATTGAAAACGTCGTTTGTTATGTCTAAGATATTAAAAATAAGCAACATTTTTCCTTGTGTTTGGTCACGAAATAAGAACTCATTTGAAGGCTACTAGACTTAGCTTCCAGTTAGAAACAATCAACTCTTCTTGAATTATCTGGTCATCTATTTTATTTTCAAATTTGGTGAGCGATTATACTGTCATTTAAAGTTCACATAAGAGAAGGTAGGCCTTAAAGGTTGATGTTTCGCACAGTTCATTGCATTTAGTTTCGTACACGTAGTAGTAGTAGTAGTAGTAGGTTGTTCAGTTTTCTTTTATCATATGGGTGTGCGAAGAAAATAAATCCTATCACATATGTTGTTAAAATCCAAGTGTATCTTTTAAATTCAAGTTTTAGCTTTAAGTTTTATCTTTTAATTAATCAAGCGTTTTGTTACTTGGAAACATCTTTCATGCTCTTCTGCATTCTTTTCTATTCTAACCAGCCTGAATGGAAAGAATTGGTTTTTGATATTGATTTAACTGACTATGATGAAGTCCGATATTGTTGTGGTGAACAAAGTACATCCGGATCTTCTATTTGTCCTCGGTGTTGGCCACTTGCACGCTGTGCAGTTCTTTGTATTGATCGGGCTCTAAGAGAAGATTTTGGTTTTCAGCACTTATTATGGGTCTATTCTGGTCGTCGTGGAGTACATTGCTGGGTGTGTGATGATTCTGCTCGGCATTTGGATCAAACCTCACGCATGGCAATTGTGGAATATTTGACTCTGGTTCGAGGTGGTAATGCTAGAAAAGTAATTTTATTGTTTGGGATTTTGTTATGTATGAACTTTGATTCCTGATTATCTAGGTTTTTGGCTAAGCATAAGAAGGCTAATTGTTTGGTATTCTGAAAGCTTAGAGGTTCATTCTTAGCAACCCGACGGTGAAATGTCTAAGGAAAAACTTAACTGGGAGGTTACCAAACAATTATCAAACTTGGATTTCTTACACAACTTTATCAACTAACAATTCTCACTTCAACAAGTTAGAAAAATATTTGCCTGCCACTTTGCAAATTCATTTTCGAAATGATTGTTCTTTACAAGAAGTTGAGGTGTAGTTCGTTAACTTTTATACTCCACTTCCAAGTATTGTCCTGGTTTCAAACCCAGCTGCACCCGTTGCACAATCTAGGTCACCGGGTTGTATCATTAGTTGTCACACAAATATGACTCACTGCTCATTACATCTGCACCATTTCTGTGAGTTACATAACTGTTTCTCCCTTCTTGGTAGTCGTATCGTGTTTGAAATAAACAAATCAAAAACTACGAGGCATTTTATATGGCTTTGTAATATATGTTTACACGAAATATTTTGGCTCCGGTTATATTCCGTGCAAAACTCCTGCATTATTGTTGACAAAGTAAATGGATACTAGGTTTATGGTGTTTTTATTTCGATCTTTGATCCATTGATGAAGCAATATTGCGTGCGATTGAAATTTTAACTAGACCATTTTTGTGTCGGCTACAAATTTGAAGACTCGGGTTAGGTTACCGACAGTTAAGATTTATTACCTTGTAAATCATTTTTCACTCAACCATTGGCTGTATCTATTAAAGTGAGAAAAGGTTTTTAGAGCGAAATCAGCCATTAGTTAAGAAACTAACAAATGAGGTTGTTATAGTATAACTTAAACTATACCCTCAAAGGATTATTGCACACGAACAATTGTGTTTTAATTTGCTTTTATATTTATTTTTCCTTTCCTTCCTCTTTGAATATTCACTTGCGAAGAATGACTGTCTATTTGTATTATTGTTTAAATCCGAACTATTCTCTAGGAAACCTAATACATAGTGGCTAGTATTATTTTATTACTAAAAAATCTATTTACCTAAGATTATTCAACTGCCTTCTCAGCGTGATAGACCAATTCACTAATGATCGGTTTAGTCCAACTACCGAAAGGATAATTTTTGTCAGTGTTATCAATATTTTGTATTCTTAGTCTACGGTTGATGGCTATAGTGGCTAATAATATCAATTCTTGTCGTCTTCCATCGTGACTGTTAGTCGTCATAACAGCTGATAGCGATAACATGTAGATCGGTATTTCCGTTCATAAATGAAGGCGACAGTTATTCTCTAGCAGTTTAGTATTCCTTAAAGTCGATTTTTGTTCTGAATGTATTCTGTTCATAGAAATCATAAACAGGAGTTCTCGAGTCACTTTTCATATTGAGTAATTAATCACCTTTGGTTTCGTTTAGTTGCTGCAGAATTTCGCTTTGTTTTGTATATCTGATTATGCATTAGTGTATGTTTCCCCATACATAGGGTTTTTATTTCTGATTCGATTACAATAAGCAATAGTTTTAAAAAAACGAAAACAAATTGTAAATGAACATTCTATGTTCGACCTTATTTTTAATTAGCCTCTACTTACTGCTGGTAACTATTCAAAGTCGCACGATTCACAGTCATCTGGAAGTATTGAACCTCTGCTTCACCCCTGCGTAGATGCAGCTTGTAATATCTTGATGCCTCGATTTACTACCTACTGTAGTACAATAAATGGTCAAAATCTGTTCGGGAACCAAAAGCGATTACTTAAGCTACTATCATTTTTACCTGTTGAACTAAAAGATTTTCGTGAACGCCTTTCTAGTGAATGGTCAAATGATATTCAAGATGATAAAGGGGAAATTTCTACAAAAAGATGGAATACGTTGAAGAAGTTTTTAAAAGAAAATGGTCGTACAAATGTTTTGAAAGAGGTAGTCTTAAATTATACTTATCCAAGGTTGGACGTTAATGTATCCACAGGTAAAGTTAACCTTCGAATTATAGAATATATCTTTGAGTTGATTACTAATTTTTCTAAATGTTGGTTTTATGTAGATATAATCTTTTGGTATATTGTGTGACTCATATTCTTTTAAATACTTAATTCACACTGTCCCTGAGGTGTTGTTTAATTGACTGGTTAGCCGAATAAGTTAATGCAATGTATTTTATTGTATGATGTCTAACACGTGATATCCAGTTATGTTTGCAGACCATATCAGTGTCGTGTTTGTTTTCTGTAGAAAATTCCATAATGTGTGGATATTTGTGCAATATAAGTTTAGATGGTGTGAGATCTACTTTAAAAACGAGATATACAGCGAAGAGGACTCTTTCACTGAATTTACTCTCAAGCTGTACATTCGTATATATATGTATACATTTAAAGACTGTATAATCCATGAGGAAGATTTAACTTAAATAATGGGAGGTTGAAATAATAATAATGGTTATAATAATAATATTGCTAGTTGGTGAACTAAAGGGTGAATAATGGCAAAAAGGGTTACGTAAGGCTTTTAAATCGTTTACAAGGTGCATATAGATTAAAAAGGGGTAAAAACGTGGTAGAATTAATAAACAGTCAAAGGATTAGGTAATATGAATGAGACAAGTTAATTGGAATACATTGAAAATGTTTTCTTAAAAAGTTGCAATTATTAGAAAGATCAAATGAAATAACACTGAAAATAATGAAATATAAAAATAAAATGATAATGACGACATAAGAGTACAAAGATTAATCTGACAAAAAAAGGGGGGGCGGGTTGCAAAAAACAAAAGGGAATGGGTCAAACCAAGACCAAAATAAGTTAAGGCCAAGGTAGAGACAAAGCCTGCACACACTTCTTTTGCACACAAAGGTCAGGCTTCACTTCATGGATAGCCAAGGTCTCTGCTGTTTTTAGAAGCTTAAGACTGAGGGAACATGAGGTGTTTAAGCGAATTTGATAGACAACCTTAAAATCATTGTTTGGGTTAGTTGAATGGTTGGAATCGATTAGATGTTCAAGGATAGAACTTCTGATGCATTTCCTTTCACTCTTATAAAACCAGGCCGTAATGTGTTCTCATATACGTGTTGACAGCAATCTGGCTACGGCCAATGTACCTTGCTCCACGGGAACAGTACATACAACAAGGCTTGTCCGTGTATTTGGGAGTGTCACATTTTACATTCCAGCTGGTATGTGTGTGATGCATTTATCCTTGAGTACGATAAAATGAGTCAGTAAACATAAGTCTGTAAATCCTTTCATTATGCGTGGAGTTGTAGAAGCTTCCAGACTTGTTTTTCTTATCTTCTATAAAGATAAAAGTGACTGGGTTGAACGAATAAAAATATAAGGCAGCCCTTTTGTTTTGGAAGTAGAACTATGACATTCTGGTAATGTATGATTCCATGTTAGTTATTTTTTGTTGTTGTTGAGTATTTCATATGATTCAGCTGTATTATTTAAAAAAAGCTGTTTCATTGCATGAATTCCTTAGTAAAATGTCCTATTCTAAGTAATCCTGGAACTCTATGAAAGTGACGTGGAAGGAAATCGGCATAACCGTGTTACGAAGGAAGAAGAATCAAGACAAGGTATGGATCTCAACGGAAACATGGAAGCTGATAGAGCAGGGAGAAGATGGTGAAGCAGTGCAGTGCAGTGCAGTGCAGGGATGAACGACGAAAAGAGGGACTGAACACAACCTATAAAACACTATACTGAACAAAGAAGTGAAGAAGAGTGCGCCCAAAGACAGAAGACACTTCTACGACACATTGGCAAGTAAAGCAGAACAGGCTGTAGGCCGGTAAGAGAGACCTAACAACACTATATCAAATAACCAGGTCACTATCTGGGAGGGAAGAGATCAACGCAGATGAAACCAATGAAAGATAGTGAAGGAACCTCAGTCAACTCGAAAGAGGAGAAACCAAAGAAACGATGGGCTGACCACTTCAAAACACTTTTGAATCGACCACTATCACCTTCAACTCGTCCAGAAATACCACGAGCAGTCGCAAAATTATCGGTGAACACAAAGCCTCTGACGAAAGTAGGAGTGAAGTCCTGAACGCCATAAAGTCACTGAAAGCCGGCAAAGCAGCAGGACTAAATGGGATTCTTTCAGAAGCACTGAAAACTGACGCACAGACAACAGCAGACATGCTCACACCACACCACTAGTGCAGAAGGTTTGCAAAGAAGGAAAGGTACCTATCCGTTGAAGAGAAGAAGGGCTATCTTGTCAAACTCCCAAAGAAGGGCAACCTAATTCTTTGCAAGAACTGGCAGGGAATCATGCTCCTGTCCACTCAAAGCAAAATATTAAGCCGCATCACCCTGGAGAGACTAAAAATGCTCTGGATTCAAAATTACAACCGGAGCAGGCTGGCTGGCTGGCTGGCTTCAGGAAAAACAAATCATGTGCGGATCGAATCGCAACGCTACGCTATGTATCATCATATAACAGAGCATGGAATGCCAGTCAACTGGAGCTTTACCTCAACTTCGTCGAGCTTGCAAAGACCTTCGATCGAGACGTCGACCGAGAAGTAATTTGGCAACTGCTTTGACACTACAGTTTTAGTGTCACAAACCTTTATTAACCTCATTCAACAGCTATATGCCATATGATGCTGCATGCCGAGTGATTGACAATGGAAAGCTCAGTGATGCGTTTGAAGTGAGGACAGGAGTAAAACAAGGTTGCCACCTACTATCACTGATGATCTTCCTGATTGTGGTCGACTGGATCATGCAACAAACTGTGAAGAGTGAGAAGAGGGGCATACAATGGACTGATGAAGAAACCCTAGAAGATTTGGATCTCGCCTGTGATGATTTATGCCTGTCACACAAACTCGAAGATCTACGGGTGAAAACTAACAAGTTGGCAGAAGAGGCAGGGCAGCGAAGATGGGACTTTCTTCAGGTGAACGTAGAAAAGACAGAGGTGATGAAGACACTCAACCAACAACAACAAGAGGCACCAATCACCATCGACGGGAGAAATCTAAAGGAAGTAGTCTCTTCCACCTACCTACTACCTAGGCAGCATCGTTTCAACTACAGGCGGCACAGGCACAGATGAGGATATCAAAGCCAGGATCAGAACAGCAAGCAAGACAGGCCTTCCTTCACTAATCTTAAATCAGTGTGGAGATCAACTGCATTGCAGTCGGCATAAAGAGTGAACAAGATCCGGATTTCTAACACTAATTCAGTCAACTCAGTGCTTCTATATAGTTAAGGGACTTTGCGGGTTACGAAAAGCATTTCCAACAAACCGCATACATACATCAACAGCTGCCGCCTACGCTTGATACTGATACTGGAGATCAGATGACCAGAAAGAACAAGCAACAAGGAAGTCACTCTGTCAACGAACTAACTAAGAACCTCTCGCCCAACAAATATGCAGAAGAAAGTGGAGATGGATTAGACATTACGTGCCAGGCCAGGCTCTCGGGTGGAACTCAAAGGGAAACGACGAGTTGGTGTCCGAGGGTGACATGGAGGGGATCGTGTGAGGAAGAAATGAAAGTTTCTGGGCAGCCGTGGAGGGAGGTTGACAAGATTGCTACTGAAGCCCTATGTTCCACTAGGAACCCAAGGGATAAAAAAATAAATTAAAAATTACTGTTCGTTTGTTCGCATATTTTTGGATAAGTCACTTCTCTAGTTTGTTGCATTGAAAATTAACCTTTTATGTAAAAGCTTTAGGATTTAGCAGGTGTGGTCTTGTATAGCTGCGCGTTATGTAAATCATCAGTTGTTTCTGTAGTTCGTTATTTCTCAGGTTTTATTCAAAAGTAATTTAATCAATTTCGCCACTGTCTTTTTTAGGTATAAACCATTTACTGAAAAGTCCTTTTTGTGTACATCCAAAAACGGGTCACATTTGTGTCCCATTCGATCCACAGGATGTCGACAAACTTGATCCATTTAATGTACCGACGTTAAATGAACTAGTGGAACAGTTATCTTCTAGTTCAATCGTTGAAAAGGATTCTGGCAGTAATAATAAGGATGATGAGAATGTTGTATCAAGTGATAAATATCTGCTGGCGTTTAAGAATACTTCTTTAAGACCTGCTATAGAATATTTTGAAGCTTTTGTAAATCGTATTTCACAAGCTGAACGTTTATGTAATAAAACTGACAATTCTGAAGATAATTCAGGTGTACTCGCTGCTATTCCTGTATTCTAAAGAGTTCTGTGTGTATTTTTGTGTTCTCTCTTTTTTAAAAATGAATTTAGTCTTTTTCTGTCAATCACATTTTAAATAGATTCACTTTATTTCTTCAAGGCTTATTCAAAAGTATTTATGGTCGGTATCTCTTGTTAAAATATCTTTCTGTTCAAGCTTGTTGTTTGTTTGAACCTCGCTAGTTTAGGTGTATTTGCAGTACAGAGATGAGTGATGCGTTATGACAGATCGAAGTGCTTGTTATTTAATAAGAACCGCGATTGAATAAAATATCGCTGAACGTATTTACACCATGGTTAGCCTTGTACACGTCCTGGATAAAAGCAAGTAATTATAGTGTGAAGTAGAAACTGACATACGGATTGATGTTTTTCGTTTATAGGGTGTGTAGCTGATATTTTTGTGTAACACCCAATGTATTCGTGCAGATAGGCTAGTCAATAGCTCAAACAGTGTAGTTATGTAATCTGTAGGAAGGTGTGAAACAGTGGAAAATGAATTTAAAACAAAAGCGGGTAATTGATCATCATATACGAATTATAAAAATGCGATGTTACTGGTGATAATAAGATGAGACAAATGATTCAACTGTTGAAGTATTCATCTTGCCTATCCTTAATTGTTTCGGGAAAAGAAGCTGGCACTTATTACAGACTGGGAGTAAAAGTTAGGTGTTATAATACCTTGAAAATCAATAGTGCCGTCATTGATAATGAGTTCTAGTTCACTGTACTTTCAAAATGTGTGGATAGATTCCATTTCATAATCAATTTTCTCATTTCAATAGTATACGTTAAATGTGTTTTTGTTGTATATGATAATCAGTGTCATGCTAGCAGTTGGCTCCAAGTGTTCATCGAGGCTCATGGTAGTATCAAATCAATAATAGGACAGCAAGTAAGTGATACTCTCCGGGTTTTAAACCCAGATATCTTACTCAAGATGGGAGGTGTCAGAGATTTGTTAATCAGAAAGAGGTATGAAGCTGGGAATACTCTAGGTTTTACCCACAATATAAAATTGCGCTGGTCAGAATGCTATACCACAGACAGAGAAAAATGCTCAACAGATATGTTGGAGGTGTTTCTGCTGAGTAATTTTTTCAAGGGAATAATTATTCTCTTAAATACGGTTGAGGAACTTGGCCTCCCGTTCTGTCAAGTTTTCGAAGAGGAAAAAGTTAACTATATGACTAATCAACGGTACTGCATACAACTCTTTCTCTGATCCGTCGTGTTTGGTGATGCGTATGATGCATTATTCTGTAAGGCTGACAAAAGTGAACCAATGCGTGGTCCACATCACTTCGATTCGTAATTACCAAATATAATTCTGTGAGACAAAGAAAGTGGCTGGAACTTTATTCCCATAGCATTTCCCATAGAATCTGTGAGGCAATAAAGTCTTATCCTTTAACTAAGAATCTTTTAACGAATCTCTCTGTATCCTTCACAGTATTACTCCATAGTTGCAGCAATTTATTCATTTTATCTAGTATTCGTATCTTTCATCTCATGTTCTTAGTTACTTTAATGATATTATTCGTAATTGGCGTATGTCTTCACGATAACCTTACTGCTACCCTCCAGGTCCTATGTATAACGCATTATTTTGACTATCGTTTATTTCATTTTTCTGCTTCGAACACTGTTGTTCATCTTAGTGGATGAAAAGTATCGTGAATATTAGTTAGCTTGTAGTCCGCTAAAGAAAAGACTATGAAATACAACAATACAGTTAGGGATGCCTATATCTCTTATATCCCATACTTACAATTTGTTTACCTGTGAATTCTTCTCTTCGCGTTCTTTTTTCCGCACATCTATCAGATTTCATATAACCCGCTAGTGTTATGATTAGCTTTTGCCTCTTTAAATGTCCTAACCATTCTTTGTCTTTCAAGGTTGCTGTAAACTCTATAAATAGGATCCTCTTTCACTCAAACACTTTCAGTTGGATTTACAGTAAACTCAGTTGATTACCAGTCTTTTGATTTCTCTTTGCGAATCACTCGTGTTGAACTGTCTCAAACCTTGACTATCACTCGTTGATTATTATCGTTCATTCTCACAAATCCGCGTAGTAGCAGATACCATTATGTTCTCTTGCATTTATCATCACAGCCTGATTAAAGAAAGCCAACTGATTTCGTTTAGTTTTTACATCACCCTCTTAACACGTGACTATAGAATATTGCTGGTTTCACATTTTTTTTGTCGTGTAACAATAAACTTGGTAGATTTCAGACTAATTGTATGCCTCTAGTAAAGAGTTACGTTAAGAATGCTCTGCATCAGTTAATGTTTTGGTTGGAATTGTTATGTGAAAAGAGTACTTCTTTTTATCATACATTTTTCTTTTGAAACAATTTACTCACTTCATTTGTTTGGTCTAATTGACTAGTAGTACGGGAAAACTACTCAAACTTCAGTTGCACTTGTTATCATTAATTATTAAGGAGCGAGCGCTAATTATATCATTCCTGTGTTTTACCTTTTCAAGTGTTGGTTAAACACGTTTTTCCACCTACTTCCCTCCCGAACACAATTGATGCTTTTGGTAATTTCCTATAAAATCGTTAATACTACTTTTAAATAAAAAGTAGTATAGATTGGGTGGTAGTTTTGTTCATCACTACATTTTTACGTGTCTGTACAGTGATCAATAAACTTATGATTTGTTCATGATATTATGTGCTGAGATAATAGTTTAGGGCTAAGATGTAGTTGTGAATAATTCAGTCTCATGATCATGACAAAGTTATTTGCATCTTTAAGTAGGATGGGATACTGATTTCATCATACTACTTGACACATTGAAATGTGCCTACGTTTACATTGAATTCGGAAAATCTTTCTCAACTGAAAGTTAACAAGAAATAGTACGATTTCTGTAGTTTATTCTCTTTTTCTCTGTTCATTTCATCGTTTCTCATTTTCACTGTTTGCCTTTTAAGTTATGTAATCCAAAACGTCTTCTGCAACGTCGAATGCAACGCTTTCTAAGTGACTGACGGTTGTTTGTACTTGATTGCGAGCATTGAATACGACATTCACACTTGATGATGAATCGTGTATGCTGGGCTAATTGTGAATATAAACAAAATTAAGCAAATTATTTTTCGATATTACTAATCGTTTCTTACATATAATAGTATAATATAAGTTAAAGTGTTCATTAATTGGTGTGAAGTAATGAAAGTTAATGATAATACAACGTAAATCCTTTTTCATCATGGATGGTATGAAATTAGTATAAGCTAAAAGGTTCACTGAAAACTAGGTACCCATGGACTGTTTTTTCATCCTAAAATGTAAGAATCATCAAATTTCACACCCTACACCCCAAACAAGATAATATTGGAATGTAGTTTTCAAGTTTTATCTAGGATTAATGTTAAGTTTCAGAAGTAAATTCATAATATGAAAGTGGTCAACACCTACCCAATTGCACAAACTTACCTTGAAAAGTTGTCTTTAGTGTTTTGTGTTAAGTTTAAGATCATTTCACGTTACCTTCGAAATTATAAGCCTTCTTTCTCTGAAAGCCTCTCTCGGACATGTATCCTAATCTTTTTATTCATTTCGTTAGAGAACAATAGAGGAATAAACAGCTGTTTCACTCTATCTGGGAACTCCTTAGTAGTGCTCATAGGTGGCTCACCTGCAGTCATGAGGTTCAACCCAATGACTGTCACCCAACGGGTTCTCTGAGTGACTCAATTACAAATGAATTTATTAGTATGCTGCGTTAAGCAAACCTGAACCATAATGAAACATTATACATTTAGTTCCCTTGACAAATTCGAACAATACAAGAACAAAGACATTTGCAGAATAAAATGAGCTCATTTTATTTCAAGGCCTTTCATCAGCTACAAACAGCTCACAACTGAAATGGGGTATTATCAGTAATAATGGCATAATACACCTTAAATGTGCGGAAATAAATGGAGATTTGAAATGCAGAATTAGCAGTAAAGCAGTGAGTTAAAGAAACACAGGATGCAATATTATGAATCTTAGTCAAAATCAACGGCAATTTGTTTGACGAGATAGAAAATTCTGGAGTTGTAGGGTGGAAGTGACGGACAAGAAACAAAATTAAGCGTAAAAGGGAGGGGAGGTTGTTGAAGGGCTAGTAGGTTACCTGAGTACTGGAATATCGTAAAGTGATTAACAGTCAGTAAATAATTAATGGGGAGATGGTGAAATCAAAAGAAAAACGAAGACTGTGTACATACATATGCAAAAGAATTGTGTACATTTACCGATGTAAAGAAAGGTTAATTACAGTCTCCTTCTGAGTGTATAAGTCAGGTTGGAAATGTTTGATAGCGACAGCTTCCGCAAATCGTAATAAACATGATGTTCTTTGTTTACTGATTATCCTGAAAGGTTGAGAAACATCTATTTGATGTCCTGTGTCCATGAGATGTTTGGTGATTGCGCTTTTGAAGATATGGCTACCATTTTGACACAGATTTTTCGGAACGCGCTTGTAAAACCGAGTAGACATCCTTCATTCAGTTCGTCCTGTGTACTTGCAGCTTTTATTCTGCTCTGAGAAGGAGCTTCCCTTCTGCCACACTCATCTCAGTTCACAATGCATTATACTCAATAACACAGTCGATAGTAGACAAATACCCATCTCACGTCACCTCCTACTGTGTATATCAACCCACCTGTGCTTGTGGAAGCAAGTACATAGGACGGACTGAAACAAGGGTATCTACTCCATTTTACAAGCATATCCCGAGAAATCTGTGTCAGAATGGTAGCCATATCTTCAAAAGCGCAATCACCAAACATCTCATGAACACAGGACATCAAATAGATGTTTCTCAACCTTTCAGGATAATCAGTAAACAAAGAACATCATGTTTATTACGGTTTGCGGAAGCTGTCGCTATCAAACATTTCCAACCTGACTTATATACTCAGAAGGAGACTGTAATTAACCTTACTTTACCTTGGTAAATGTATATAGTTTTTTTTGTAAATGTATATATAAAGTCTTCGTTTTTCTTTTGATTTCACCATCTATTCATTAATTACTTACTGACTGTTAATTACTATACGATTTTCAAGTTTTTCGTGTAATTACGTAACCTATTAGCCCTTAAAGAGTTTCTTCTTTTACACTGATTTTCATTTGTTGTTGCCCCCCTCCACACTGCATAGCTCCAGAATTTTCCATCTCATCAAACATAAATTTCCATACATTTTGACTAAAATATGTAACTATTAATCCTGCGTTTCATTGACTTACTACCTTACTGTTAATCCTGCATTTCAAATCTTCATTTTTTTCTGCGTGTTTAAAGTATGTCATATTATTATTACTACTAATAACTCATTCAATTGTAGGCTGTTTCGAGCTGGTGAAATAAAATGCGCTTATTTTATTCTACAAAAGTCTTTGTTCCTCCGTTATATTGAAGCAGCTGTTCATCGCTCTATGATTCACATTACTTCTTCACTTGATGTTGATCCATAATTAATAATTTGAAAGCGAAGTAATGTATATGTATTCTGTTCAATATTTAAACAATTCATAACAAAATAGGTTCTAAGTATATTTTATATATATTTTGATATTGGTAATTATGATTTATGTGAAATTCGGAACGATGTTGCTTTGAAAGTTTGGATATTCAATGAAGTTACTGTACATCAAACACGTATGATGCGAGTCATTTGAAGTTGACTGTCACTTACCTACAGGATGCCGTAGAAGTCATGAAACTATTTTTTTTCGTACAATGATCTTGGTGACTTATAGTGGAAATCAGGACTCATTTGGGACTTGTCAGCTCGAAGCATCTGCATCCCACTGAGTGGTGTTGCTTTCACTTACATTCATACCTGGTACCCATCAATTCAAACGCCAAAGCGTTACTCACTAGGCCACTGGGACACAACAACCACCACTTGTGTAATGGGTATCACTTATTGTTTATTGATACTTGCAATTCCCCGTTGCTATACAGAGTCGAATTGATCGACCTCTGTTGATAGATGGGCTCCTATGTGGATGCCTCAATACTGCCTGGATATTTATTAAATCGCAGTCTAGTTGATGGCTAGTAGTGGAATCAAGGACGTGCAACGGAAAATTATAAGCATCAATAAACAACAACTGATACCCGTTTCACGAGTGATGGTTCTCGGTTTCCAGTGGCCTAGAGGACCAGGCTTTGGAGTTTGAAGCAGTGGGTACTGGGTACGAGTGTTAGTGGGGATGACACCACTCACTAGGATGTAGGTATATCGGATCGACGAGTCGCAGTTAGGAGGAAGCATGCGTCCTGGATTCCACTGCTACCCACCAGATAGACTACAATATGATGAATATCCAGGCAGTATCGAGGTGTTTGCATAGACGCTCATCTGCCAACACATGTCGAGGAATTGTGCCCTGTATAGCAACGGGATATGGCAATTAAGAAACAATAATTTCCCTGTTGTTATGATTGCATGCTTCCAAACCACTGTGCAATCTCTTCATATATGGTATTCAGCTGGGATTCAAGACTAACTGGTTTTATATTAGTTGCTATTCAGTGACTGATCAGTATATTCAATCCAATCGTACAGTATGTGAGTGATGTTCTCAATGCCTCACTGGTGTTGCTTCTAGTTGGATTACCAGATGACTAGTGTACAAATGTCCAAGGTGGTGCACCAGTATCTTAGGTTGCTTATATTACGTAATATAGAGTATTAACAAGAGCGAAAACGATACCTTAAAGTATCATTTGTCAAGTGCGTTGCACCGTACTGCTGAAACAACTGCCCTGGTGACTGTTTTGCAGTCCTCAGAGATGGGATTGGATTACAGCCTGAGACAAGACCCCATAACATTGGTTACTGTTGAGTGTCGAATCAATGTGAGTATTTCTCGTATTGCTGTAGATGTATAACGATAAATATTTTGGTATTTAAGCTATGATAGTTTTAATTGAGTAAAAAGGGCGTTATTATTAGATTTGAAAGTCAAAAGGTTTTAACTTCAGATTCTAGTTATCATGATTGATCAATTCATTTTCTTCCTTTAATAACCTATACAATCAAATGTATATTGCTTCATTCATTTGACTACATTTAAGTATTTTATAAATTTTCCATGCACACTAAAATACTACTATTCAATAAATTAGTAGTTTGAACCCGTGCGTGCTAACGTGCAGATTTCAGCAACTAGAGTCAAGCGATCTGAACATTGAAAATTTGTTTCTCTCGTTTGGTATTGCGCTGAAAAGTGACAGACGAGTTTAGCTCACAAAGATTTGTGCCGTTTGAAAAATGACCATTCACGTCACCCTTAGCCACTGTTGATAAAACACCTTTTTCTTTTCGCAGGACATTTTTGCATTATTTGTTAAGTTTGATTTCTGTATATACTTGGTTTTTTAGTACTCTTACCTATTACTGGATAGTAAGAAGTGGCGCAGTACCAGCTAAGTTCCCATTATGGACTTGATGACATGATATCATTAATACGTTACTTAGTTTCCAGTACCTTTTCTAGTCTCATATTTTCAAGTTGGTATTCGTCATAGACTGACATCAGTTGGAGAAATATTGGAAACCTGGGAGCACTGGACGGTTGTTTTATCCTAGTATAGAACTCTTCAGCAGTGCACACCCATGATCCCGCCAGCTGATGTCAATCCATGATGAATACCAACTTGAGAAATCTCTAAATTCCCACTAACCCCCGAATTCAATCGAACTAGTATTCATTGGTGACTAAGTTCGAGAGGTGATTCCTGAAGTTCCAATGAGAAGTCGTGACCAAAGTGACAAACCTGGTGACCTTGAGGGCAAATATTCAGCAATGACATTGGGTGATGGTTGCGCTATATTGTGGACTGACAGGAGTTGGAATATGGAACATTAGACTCCGACCCGGTGGCTCAATGATAACGTGCTGGTCATGAAACCTGAAAGTCGCGATTTCGATACCTGGTGGGGTCATGAGTGCTCACTGCCGAAGAGTCCCACATTAGGGCGAAACAGCTGTCCAGTGCTCTCAGGTTTCCAGTGTTCCTCCAACTGATGCAAGTCCATGGGGAATACCAACTTGTGGAATCTCTAAATCCTCACAAACCCCTAAAATATTTCATATTGTTTGAATGAAACTACTTATTAAAAAGTATGTTGTTAGTGATTTCACCATGCAAGAGAATAATCTGTGTACTCAATCACAATGCAGTAAAATTATTCACTGATCTTATACTACTTACAAGTAATAAATCACTACTGACAAATTAACTCAAATGGAAACTTCTCTACACTTTCAAATACACAATATCACCAAACATTGGGAAACATAGATTCAATGAATTCTGGTAGAATTTCAGATACATGTATAATAAACCATTAAATAAAATGTACAAGGAAGTTTCAAACCCAGGTTAAGAAAAAGCCATTATTATAGTCTCTTGGCATGCGACTGATGGCGTAGAACGTCTTGAGATATCTTTTTCAAATGTTTATATAATCAGTAAGCATATATGTTACAGAAATTTGCAAGTGGAAATCGTCACCTATAAGACCGTGTCCATTCAGGAACCAATGATGTTCAGATGTATACTTGGTTAGTTTAGACAACTAATAGATTTCAAAAGGTTGACTACACTGGTAATAATTTCTTTCTGGTGTCGCTTACAGTTTATCATTATTGCTGATTTAAATTCATTCCAGGTAATATTTAAATCTGATGAATCAAAGTTGTCTTAGATAAATAAAGTATTATACTCACTTGCACTAAGACAATATTTGTATACAATGAAAGAAATTGGTGGAATTTTTCGTAAACCTTCAAATTCTCTTTGAACATCAAGTCTCACTTGAAATGGAGCTATACCAGTAAATCTTCCAGTGCATGGTAGAGAGATTTGTACATCTGAAAAATAATTAAAAACATTTTTTGAAAATTTCAATGAGAACGTTTTACCACTTATCAAATATATGGGAAATTCCCGTGTGATGAATGTATTCTTTAATTTTAAACCCGTTATATGAAGATGAATCCAAAAAATCATGTCAACTTATGACTATTTCACTAGGTAACATTCGTATTCTTCCTGTCTTTCTTTATGTCTGTTAAAAGTGGAATGAAATGACCTAGGTGGGCAGCTTGTATAAGATGAACAGACTGTCACGTATTGCACACTGAGATAAGAGTTGGGTGAAATCCCCTAGTATTTTAAATTTACTTATGTTCCCTACAAAAGGCCTAAGTGGATAGAATATATAGAAATGTTTGATTAACGGTTAAATAATATAGTGCGACCTTGCTCATTTTTTTTCAACGAAAAGGTTGATATGGACACCACAAATCAAGTTACGGTAAATGAGTTGAGACAACCTTTGGCTCATAAGTGGTTATGCGTATAGTAAATTTTATTCGTATGATCTGTAGAGTATACAGGTAAGTGAAGACAGTGGGTTTTGTCTACTTATTCTATGTACTGGTGTTTATCTAAAATGAATATATGGACAACAGTCACTCCAAAAGTGAGTCAAATAGCTCGACCTGTGTTGGCAGATGAGCGTCTATGCAAACACCTCGATACTGCCTGGATATTCATCATATTGTAGTCTATCTGGTGGGTAGCAGTGGAATCCAGGACGCATGCTTCCTCCTAACTGCGACTCGTCGATCCGATATACCTACATCCTAGTGAGTGGTGTCATCCCCACTAACACTCGTACCCAGTACCCACTGCTTCAAACTCCAAAGCCTGGTCCTCTAGGCCACTGGAAACCGAGAACCATCACTCGTGAAACGGGTATCAGTTGTTGTTTATTGATGCTTATAATTTTCCGTTGCACGTCCTTGATTCCACTACTAGCCATCAACTAGACTGCGATTTAATAAATATCCAGGCAGTATTGAGGCATCCACATAGGAGCCCATCTATCAACAGAGGTCGATCAATTCGACTCTGTATAGCAACGGGGAATTGCAAGTATCAATAAACAATAAGTGATACCCATTACACAAGTGGTGGTTGTTGTGTCCCAGTGGCCTAGTGAGTAACGCTTTGGCGTTTGAATTGATGGGTACCAGGTATGAATGTAAGTGGAAACAACATCACTCATCCAGCTGACTAGTCCTGAACAGGACTTAACATGCGTCCTATATTTCATTGCCAGCCATCAAACAGACTGCAATATCACAGTAGTTTCGTTCACGAATCAGCATTAGATTGAAATATTTTGAGGACTATGAAGCAGTAGAAACCTGTTTTACCCTTTTTGGGGACTTATTAGTGCTACAAACCGAACTGTTGCACATACTAAAGGCCTTTCAACTGTCAGATTTCATGTAGAACCCTTTTCAAATGACTAGTGGATTTTCTCCCTAATAACCGAAGTTCTTCAACCTCTGACAATCTGTTATATACCAGAAGCACTCAAGACAATCATTGAGCGTCTCCTTCAAAATCAGCTTGTTTGATCTCACACATCACGGCTTCTCTCTGGAACTTACAAAAATGTTATTTCGTAAATTGACTAGTTCATGTCCCACATTTAGTCTATTCATATATGGTAATGCAAACTTCGTTTCAAGAGAAGGATGTACATGTGCTAATCTGATTAGCGTGTATTTCTGGGAGTTTCATTATTAGTTCAGAAAAGTACCTTATCTGTAAGGAGTACATAACAACAAACATAGAAGTAGAGAAATTTCAAATGGTAGTTTCAGATAATCGCGTTTAAATTCTAAGATGGGTGCGAAGTACACCTGTTGCTATATTTATTACTAAATAATTTATACAGCAACTGTTTGGATATACACTTAAGATCATGTTTTGAACTTTTTTCGAGAATGGGAATTAGATCGGTTTTAAATTCTAATGTACTGTTACAGTCATCACTATTAATAAGGATCAGTTGTTGAGGTAAATAACTACTAATGTTTTTGGATTCCTCCATTGGAGAGTAAAAAGACCATTTTAAAAGATGAATACAGAGATCCTCGTAGACATAATAGACATTCTCTGGTTCTTCATTTATTACGAAGAGTGATATGGAAGGACTTATATATGATTTGCATCTAGATTGTTTGTTGGTTTGTGACGATATATATATATATATATATATATATATATATATATATATATATATATATATAAAAGTCTAAATGGAAAAGTACTGTTTCAACACTCTTCAAATGTCTACGACTTTGTTACCAAGGCTCAGTGATAAGGATATAGGTGGTATTCATTTCTCAGGGTCACTGATTAGTAAGAATCAGCTACTGAAGTTGTTCAAAGGCAAGGTCTTTGACTCCAACACTAGATGATGTATATTCTAATTGCTGAGGGTTCATCACCGTCCTAATAATTACAATCTTTTTATATAGTGAGACAATATCTCTTAGACTCCTCAAAGAAGCCTGAAATTTCCTGACAACCCTAACAACCTATAATGGTATGCTCAAGATTTGCGAAATGCCAAGTAGTCGTATGCGAGAGTCTCATATTAGCTAAAGGGCTTTCTAGAAGAGTGTAGAACATACCAAGGCCGTGTAAAACATATATAAATCGTCCCTTTTTTTCACATATTCGGCTTGAGGGTGAACTTTTGTCGCTTCTTCCTGTTTTCAAGGAACTGAGCAACCCCAAGGCGAAACCTTAGGTTATTGTCCAAGACACCATATATATTTACTACAAGGACATGTCAGCTGACAACGGGGAAGATGCTAATGGGTGCCAAAAAGAAAATCTGAGGCAACTATGATTTTTTACCGTCTACCTTCAACCAATGATATAGCATTTTTCTACATGCTGCTTTTCCTGAATATGCAATATAGCTGCTACAAAACATTAAATAGTGCTATTTTTGATCAAGATTTTAAATTAAATAATCTTAAAAAGCATTCAAAAGACAAGAAGAATTACCTGATTGGGTAGCTGGAATATAACCGGATTTTGCAATATTCAGAAGTGGTGTATGAAGAAGTGTATGATTCATTGACTTCAAATCAATATTGTATGTTAACTAAAAAAGGAATTATAGCGTAAAAGAATACAGAATAGGCGAGGAACATTCATAAAAAGTCCTATGTTGATATTGGTGATGTATTCACGACTTCTGTGACAGCTAACACGATCATCATTCAGAATAAAAATATTTCATTGCAAATCTCATCTTGAACAGTAAAGGTTATGAGATGTGTCACAATAATATTGATTAATACGATCGTGACATCTAACACCTTATGTTTGTAAACAGGTATGTATACCTGTCTTGTAAGTAATTCAGTTAAGTATGTATAGAGAAAGAGAACCGTAAACTTTCCTACTGGCCAGTTTACTTGTATCTTAAAAAAACGAATCGACGAAATATATTTTTTTTATTTCGATAAATGATATAGGGATAATAAGTAAAATAGAAGTTTGCATATAATGGCTGACTATTCACCAAACAACAAAGAATGGTAGCTGATGTATAATATTACCCTCAGTTAACTGCCTGTTATTTATTGCAACATAACATTTTCATATGTATACTATGATTTTAGGTGACCAAAAAATAAGCAGGGTTTTGATTGGTTGGGAAGGTAGTACTGAATTCCTTGCGAAAAATTGATCAGTAGGTAGTATTCAGTGTAACTAAAGTCATAAGTACTCAGAGGTGGTAGGAGTTTATCAGTTGTGTTCTCAGTGTAACAATCAGGCCAAATAAAACGACACTGATTTTATGAGTGAGCTTTCTAATTGTTTTGATACCGGTAGGTGGAGGATATTTGTTGTCTTAGGGAAAAACAAGATCTTTTAGAGATTTGGAGTAGTACATTCTTGAGGACTGCAAATACGCTCTGCTAATGAATATGAAAAAGGATGAAACCTTCATATAAAACCGTCTGTCCTTTGACTTTCAACATCTGAGTCAAAATTGCTCAATATCAGGTTTTCTAGTTGTTGGTGCTAATCTACACCATTTATGCGAATCATTAAAGACACTGAAAGTTTGCACAAAAGGGTGGCATTCATATTCTTCACCACATTTTACTTTCCCGAATTGGGCAACAATGGTGATACCTTAGGAGAATAGGTTCTGTATAACAATATCCAGTAGGACCGTGAACAAATAAATGATTTCACTCTTGTCTACCTTTCTAATCCCTTAGAGAAAATTGCATCTCTTTCATATAGTGACAAATTTTTACTGTGTAGCAACGCAGGGAAACGTACAGTTTAGACAATACCCAACATTATGATTATAGTCGTGGCAAGCAGAGGAACCGAAGATGCGTGTTTGGTCTTATTTGGGACTCGTCAGCTGGGTGTACATGGATACCAGTGAGGGATGCTGTAAATAATCATTATAAATATTCAGGCAACATCGAGGCATCCGCACAGGAGCCCATATACCAACAGGGGCCAACAATTCAATCCAGTAAAACAGCGGAGAATTACAAGTATGTCAACAAATTGTACTAACCGATACTTAGGGAAACAGCATTTTCTAACTTAAATGATGAAATCTGTTAGAAAAGTTTCTGTAAGTCCCTTTATTTCACAAATATTTGGCAATTATACTTTCGTCAAGCATTTTAATTACATTACAACTGTTCCAGTAATTCAAGGAGTCACGTTCCCTTTATTAGTTTTCTGATTACTTTGACGCTTGATTAAAGTATTAAACCTGACATGGTTTCAATTCGACCAAGTTGCCTTATGTAGTTCAGTGTCGTAATTATCAGACCCAGACAATATGATTTTAAATGAATAAGCATTTAATACTTTAAACTACTCACACGTTCGAAACCAGCTCTCCATTTAACACGTAACATATCGATACGTGGAGGGATAGGTCTATGGGCAGATAATGAAATACGGTCTAATGCCTCATGTAAAAGCAATCCATTAAAAACGAGGAACAAATGTTCGGGTACTGTAGAAAAGGAAATCAATAAATACATCAAAATAGTTCACTAAATTACTATTCTTGTTATTGAAAAATTGTAAATGTCAAACTACCCAGGACGTTTGACTTCAATTTCTGGACTTCATTGATTGGGTACAAATTGAGGATTTTTCCGAGACCGCCAAACATAAAGCAGCTTGACACTATTGGCTTATTGTATAACTGGAAATAATACGGCAAAACTTGCAAAAGCATGAGACATAGTTACTGAAAGACAATAGACCTTCAGTTAAGGGACTGCGTTTTCGTACAATAGTCTACAGGATGCAAATGTCGCCTAAACATCAGTTTGAATGCAACAGATGATTGGTTAACACAATAATTAATTACTGATTGGACTTTCTAGAAGAAACTCAGTTAAACAGCAAAGATTACGGCGTAAAATATGAAGGTTTCAAGAAATCAACAGTAGTATTTAACATTACTTTCGATGGAAGAGTCGTCTAAGCGTGCAGATTTTGCATGCTTTGACATGATGTTCTCAAAGTTCAACAAATTTGAGAGAAATTAAGAGGTTTCAGGTTTATTAATCCGAAAGTTTTAAGGCTCTATCTCACAAATTCAAGGTTGACCCACTGGCTATTCAAAACTAACGCATTATTAATTTCTTATATAAAACGCAGCTCGTATGGATGAATTATTACATCGATGAGATGAATGAATGTTTTGAAATGATTCTGTGATACTTCGATTGACTACAATAACATTACCCAACAAGGCTAATCTTATTGAAAATTCTATTTGATTTCAAAAAGACAGTGTTCAGTAAAGCGTATGATACAGCTAACAATCCGAGAGATCCAAATTAACAGGCAGTTGCCTAAAGGTTGCAAGCATTGGTCTCAGAATTCATATCTCTTAAGATTTAACTCAGTGACAAGAAAAGTGTTTCGCATAAGATACTGTTTGTAAGACCCAGAGAGTGAATCGTCGGAGAGATGAAACTTGAGTTGTAATCTGTATGGTGGTTCCCCTTATACTGTAGTTTTATTTTTTTGTCATGAACTATAAATGTATCTAGTATCTAATTGATATTTTATGTTTTCCGCGTGTTTTATGGGATTGTAGGAATCCTAAAAGTATTCAGATGACTGGTTTGTTATCATTTGTGCTTCGAAGTTTTGTTTCCCGACAATCACTTAGTAGTTATTTACATAACCTAAAAATTACTTGATTTCGTAGTTCACAATACATTTTTATAGAGAGTTTAGGAAACAAATAATTTTGCAGAAATTTAAAAGCTTCATGTGACTTACTATGTCTATGAATTTCTGGTAATCTTCTTGGACAGCGTAGTCTACCGGGGATATTTTGATTATGTGGCATTGATTCAATAATTTGTATTACTAACTGACGATCTACCCACAAATTCAATTGTCCATTAACACCAGTTAAAAAGTTGATATAGAAATCTGGATAATGATGATAATATTTGCATAAATTTATATAAATTTCGGTAAGCAAAATAATTAATATAAGGAGATTATATTTTCGGCATATCCAACAGGCATAATCCAGTGCCATTATCCTCTACAAAAAAAGCATAAATAAAGAGAAAAATACTTAGAAAATAAAGGATGGATTTGTTAAAATGATTACGCTTTGACAGCTTAAATACGTTACCTAAATGCACGTAAATTTTAGAATGACTTCAAATGAAATTTGTCTCAGTATTGCTTTCTAAGATGGTTTAAAAATTTATGTCTCTTCATAATTGGAAATCAGCCACAACTTAGGCTTACTTCAAGTTGAAGAGATGGAGATTTCTAAATTGTGAATTTCAATAAACTTCCAAACTTTTCAACAGTAAATTTATAAAACTGGTACTCATCATTATTATCATATCCAGTTATCCTGGAAAGTCTACTTCATGAATCATTTCACTGCTCTAATTCACTTCCGTCATATTATAGTCTCAAATGCCAAATTACTTGCTAGAGAAACAGAGGCCCCTCTCTGTGATCATAAAATCGAAAATTAGTGTGCACTACTTGAAAACTTGCAGTCTGAAACAAGATAACAATTCAGTTTTCTCGACTTCATACTGTTATTTGACTATGATGAAAACTATATTAATGATGGATAGTGGCTAGCAGTAGAATTCAGGACACATGGTTCGTCCTATTTGAGACTCATCAGCCGGGTGTACCTGCCTCCCAGTGAGCGATGTTGTTCCCATAAGGGCTCGAACTTGGGGCCGACTGCTTCACCAGCTACTACTTTGTCCATTAGACCACCAAGTTACGATAGCCACTTCTTGTGTGAAGGATATGGTATGAATGTTGTTGATTGTACGATCCCGTTGTTGACTGGACAGAAATTGATCGATCTGCATTGTTATATGGGTTTCTACACGGGTGCCTGGATATTTTCTGTTTTAATTATATATTATTGATGGATCGGTTTCAATTGGGATAATACAGGTAACTACATTATGATGAAAGCTGCCTGTATAGGTGCTTATTTTTCATTCGATATGTTCCAAACTGATAAGTACTGAGAGAAAAAAAGCAGAGTTTGAACTTAGAAAGAGGACACAACGCAATAGAAAAAGCTTAAAATGATTTTAGGAATGTAAGGCTGATGTGTTTGAAATGTACGAAGATTGTTGGACAGTTATTTCACTGATGTGATTCTTTAATCCCACACGAACCAGTTTGTACCGTTCTGTAGCATACCATATTTCTTGGGTCAAGCCTATTGGTATCGTTAGATTCGTGCCCTGAACTTTCCAAACACAACAGTAATAGTCTTTTAAATTGCTTTATTCCACCTCATTCAGTAATTCCACTAATATTATCTTGGCATTTGCATTTTTTGTGGTCATTTACTTATGCTTTATCTGGCGAGATCATCTTATTTCATGTTTAATTACATTCACATGACAGTTTTAAACACAAACAACTGGATTACTGTAAAATGTTAGTGTAACTATACAGCTTCATAACAAAGTTGTTCAAAACAGGTATTACTTCACTGAAGAAGCTCTTTTTTGCCTCATTTAGGAGTTGGATGTTTAGTCTTCGGGTCTTATGGTTAGTAAACTAACGTTGTGACCTTCTTTGTCTAATTTGACTCAGCTATTGTGCATACCTAATCCATGTCAAACTTCTGAATTCCATTTTAAGCATGAAAATTGACTTCTGTCTCAGCTTTGTTACTCAGCATTTCAGTTCCTCACAACCACTGCTAAAGTACTAAGAGTATATTTTAAATTACTCTAATTACGAATAACAGTGATTAAGATAACAGAGCGGCTTTTATAGTTTGGAATAACGATGATAATAGTTTGATGTTCTGTAAGCTTTGATATTTTTTTAATAAACATTTTATCTTTAGGTTTTGTAAAATCATACGCGCTAACTACATAAAGAATTCATTTGTGGTAAGAGGTTAGGTGAGTATTTGACTATTGTTTCGCTTAGAATGGATCATCTCCACTTGCAAACTGAGAAACAGGTTTTAATCATATGTCGACTTCTTTGACCTCACATATAATAATTTGAGTTATTGGTAGAAAAAAATCTTTATTGAAGTAAGATTTTGCATAGTTACTGAAACCAATTTGCACTCAGCATAAAGAATAAGGTCCAGATTTTCAAAAATGATGTCAGTCAAGTCAATGCTTCTATGTGATGGTTCAGAGACTTAGAGCGTCACGAAAAGCATATCTAGCAAACTGCGGACAAATATCATCAACAGGTGTCAACACTAGCTCGATACTGAAGATCAGATGGCCAGAATAATAAGAATAAGCAACAAGGAACTCTGGCTGGCTGACAACGAACCAATCAAGAACCCATCACCCAACAAGTATGCAGAAGAAAGTGGGGGTGGATTTGGCATATACTGAGAAGGCCGACAAGCTCTCGAGTGGAACCCAGATGGGAAACGACGAGTTAAGTGTCCCAGTTGAGGGTGACATGGAGGAGATCGTGAGAGGAAGAAATGAGAGCTTCTTGGCAGTCGTGGAGCCAGGTTCAAAAGTTTGCAGAGAACAGAGTGCAATGGGGACGTGCTACTGAAGCCCTATGTTCCACTAGGAACCCGGGAGAAAGTAATACATAATAATACAGAAACCATGCTTGATTCCCAATTTGTTTGTTCAGTTTTCATTCGGATTATGCATGATTCCTTGTTTTAAAGTAGCCCTGTGAAATATGGTTTGTAATCATTTCCGAGGGATTATTCTGCTGAACTTTAGGTAATCCTCGCCTTTGTTTCACAGAATGATGTAAGCTGCTTATCCTGACAATTGTTTCGTGTCCTCCAGCGATTCTTCGCAGCGCTAGTTTATTCGATTGCAGCTCGTTTCTTCAAAAGGGGGGAGCACTCATGCTAAACAGTTATTTTCATGTAGAATATTTTTTAGATCTTGTGAGTTCTGCATGAAAGACATTTTCCTATTTTTCAATTTCATTTCAAGGTTTCGGATCACACTGATGAAAAGGGGCTTTGCTAATAGGCATATACTTCCTTTACTAATAACCCAAATTTTCCAACTTTAGTCCTAATGAACATTGGGTTTTTGTCAGAAATCACATTGGATCCATATTCATGTTTCTGTTGATAGCTAAGTTAAAAGAAATGCCATTCCACTCGAAACTCAGTTGAAGCCTTCCAATCAAGCCCTATATTTGTTTAGAATGTATCGTAATCTAGGTTGTCCTAATACTGGTTTACATTATGGAGATCCGTTAATAAGTAGTTTGTCATCTGATTACGTGCTGATGTTAATAAACCAGTTCAGCTGCTTGACTGTTGAATAAACAAAGATGATTGTGTTGGTGGTGTTTGAACTTGACTGAGAATGTGGCATTAATCTTGTCTTCTTCAGGAGTAGGTAGTTAAGGGGGGGGGCGAAAAGTAATTTCTAGGTGTTACAGTGTTCTATAAAATGATGTGTATTTTCTGTGTTCTCTACACATATATTTTGAAGTAAAGACTGGGATCATAAGTCCTATTTGCTACTGTTTAAAGCCTTAGTTACCTCACTTTGACTTATGAGAACTGTTCTTCATAAATAATTGTTGTTACTTTCCACTTGATAAGTGGAAGTGAAACCAATACCTTGCAAATGAATACACAGTATGGAACGTGATCCCATGAGAGATAGTGTTTCAAAAACTTTACAAATTAGCTAAATATGCGTACAGAACCCGGGAAGTACGTATTTTTATACAGAACGCGATAAAAAATAAGAAGCACGATAACATATTGGGGTGACTTTGGCCTCATTCATTTTTCAGGCTTATTCAAGCGATTTGAAGTGAGAGTTATGGGTCTCAGTGGTTTTGGCTCAGCACGATTGTGACTCAAATCCTTCGAGGTCATGAATGAAAGTTTTCTCACAATTCTGGTTGGATGTAGTTTAGATGCTTCTTCGGTTGCATCTTTATTGCATGTTTTTTTCTTTCAGACAATGTCTTATGGTGTTTTGGAAACTGGTACTATAAATTGGGGAAGAAAACAGTACAAGCTGCAGTTTTATCTTATAAATGTGGTGTCGATACCGGTGCAACTTCCACTTTACAAAGTAACTTCTCAAGCTAGGTAACAATGTGTTACTTACTGATAGTAGTAATAGTAGTACTAATGAAGTAAAGTACGCAATTTAAAAGTTAGGCATGTGAACGGTTTGCAACTTCACTATCTTTCTAAAATTGACTTTTATTCTCAACTTGTTACTTTGCCTGATCTAAGTTGCTGGTGTGGGTTAAATGACTTCGACTCTATGAAAAGAATGTCGGGCGAATTAACGATGGAACAGTTAAAGAAACATAGTAAGGATTTATGTATGTTTTATATAGTTGTAGATTACTTAGGTATACATACATAATTTTTTGTCTACTTGTTTTTGAATTAATAATCTACTTGACCATACAACTAGATGAAGCTTTATGATCTCATAAAACAGCAGTACCAATAATTGTACTGAAAGTAAATGGTATACAGTAGGCATACATATTATTAGTTACTGAATCTTTGGAAAGGAAAATTCTCACAACGTTTTTTTTTTTTACTACAAAGGTAGTTTGTATTTCACTGGTAACATTCAAAGAACTAATGAAATTTACAATTAGCACGTAGAATCCGCTTCCTTTCTTTTCCGAACTGTTTAGCAGTAAACATAAATTTTTCCCTTACTAATCCATAAGATGCATGACTAAATGGTTGGAATAAATTTTTTAAAAAACATTTGATTTAATCAACCTCTTTCAACTTTTGAACACTGAACATTGATATAAAACAAGCTATCACTTTTGAAAATATTTTGGTAGTTATTGTATACTGCGTCAATATATGTTTGCAGAACGCTTCAATGAAAAAAAATTTTTAATTAAACACATTAACAGCTTTTAAAAACAATTCGAGGTACTCTACACGCTCTCATTAAACATTTCATTACCATTTACTTTTTCACTTAAAAATATATATACAAAAGGACGTACACTACATTCCTGAAATTCCAGAATACTTTTTTTTTCCATCTATCTAAAAAAATTATTAGATGAACATAAATTTAGTTTGCAGAGAAAAAGTTAAATAAGAGTGAATTAATGTGTAATTAACTTAGAATTTAAACATGGACTAATCTATTTGTTGACAAGGTATAAAGAAGAAGAGGATTGTGAAAGACAAGAAAAATTTCATCTTTCAAATTTTGAAGTTTTTTTTCACCAACCATACATTCCATTCGTGTTTATTGGGATAACTTTGTATAGAGGTTGTATATAAATATTTTGAAATACTTTACGGTACACTAACTAACTAATGGAAAGGAAGAACAATTCACTGAAGAAACTTCTCACTTTTGAAGATATCATTCTTAGAGTCTTGATATCTACTTTATCAAAGGCATATATTTTATTATTCAGATCTCAGGGCTCATAGACAATCGAACCATCGTTATGCTCATCTTGAGCTGCAAATCCCATGCACCATTTCAACATTGCAGTCTGTTATTGAACAGTATAATTGAATTGTTCAGTCTTCAAGAATGGATTAAGGTTGGATTTTCAAGATCAGAAGAGATCACTTAGTAATCCGTTAACTTATGAAAGCACTAAAAAATATGAAACCTGACAAGTTGTAAATTACTTTTGAATATGAAGCAGTAAAACTGAGTGTCCAGATGATGGAATTTCATGATGCAATATCACAGAAGAAATCAAAGTAGAGGCAAATGCAGTGACCTGACTAGTTATAATGATCTTACAAAGTTCATAGGGACAGGGATGACATCATGGTCAGATCATAGACTGAACATGAAGTTTAAACTCTATAGGAGTAAAATTTGACCACTGTGATTGATCGCCATGCCATTTTGGTCTGTTTATTAGAAATGCCACATAGTGAAACAGAAATCTTCCTGATAAAACAGTTGAAAAGAACTACTTAGCTGCGAAAGATGTCAACGTCAACTGTAGAGTTTTAAAGTCACTTGAAAACTTGGCCGATGTGGTAGAATGTAATTCCTTATCGTATGTTATTTTGGATTCAAGATCAGCGGTTTTTCCACACTCCATTCTGTGATTGTATCTTGATAAATGTACTGCAATATCCTAGTATTTTCCACATAATTGATCTTATTGGGGGTTTGTCATTCTATATTTAGTTAAATTTCTGTGTTCCGCTATTTTGATTGACCCCGACAAGCTAGTTTGACCTATGTACCTGACCTCACAGTCATTGTACAGAATTTGATAGATTAGATAATTTTGCTTTGTTGGACCTATCGGATCCTTATTTCCACTCATGTTGTCGCTGTTATTCTTACTCGTATTTTTTTTTTGTTTCATACTAGTTTATTAATAAATTGTAAAGGATAATTATAATTACTGAAGACTCTTTTATGTGCTAATTCCTTCTTTAAGTCGTCGCACTAACAAAATGATAAAAACATTTATTTAGAAGTAGTATTCATCATGGACTGACATCAGTTGAGGAACCAGTGAAAATCTGGAAGCACTGGACAGCTGTTTCGTCCTAGCATGGGACTCCTTAGCAGTACGCACCCATGACCCGGCTAGGGGTCGAAATCAGGACCTTCAGGTTTCATGGCGTTCGGCCCCTAACCGGGTCGTAGGTGCGTACTGCTGAGGAGTCCCATACCAGGTCGAGACAGCTGTCCAGTGCTCCCAGATTTCCACTGGTTCCCCAATTGATGTCAGTCCATGATGAATACTACCTCTAAAAATAAAAAAACTCATTCATCTCAAAAATACAAAACATTTATGTTTTCCAGAAATGTCGAGATTTTATACAAGCAGCAAAAAGTCGGTACTTAGAAATCCCTATTAAGTGAGGATAGACAGATGGTAATTTTTGGAAGTCATTAATAAGTATATGTATCCAAACTTAATCGTTTGTCAGCATTTCTGTTTATGCTTGAGTGACGTAACTTTGTTCACTGCTAAAATTTGAATATCTATTTTATGTTTCCATTTCCTTTGCTTAGTCACCGTTCAAAGTTCGCTCTATAAGTAAGTTAAACAGTTAACCCAACAACTATATAGGCTTAAAGCCATCGTACATCAGTGGCCTTGTAGATAATGCTATGGTGTTTGGAGCAATGGATTTCAGGTTGGAGTCTCAGTGGGAATGCGACCACTCACTGGAGTACAGATGCATTCAGCGAATTAATCCTAAATAGGATGGAATGCGCCTCCCTGATTCTGTTTCTGGCCACCAAATAAGTTATAACATTTTCATTTCTTGTTAAAGTACTGAAAAAATGGTACTTCTTTCAGTGGATGTTGGAATTGTGAATGAATTAATCAAAACAAAAGAAAATGTATTTCCGGAACTATAATACTTTCGGTGACTGAAAACAAATATGAGGCATAGTGTAAGGTTTTATACATCTTTTCACAGTAAGAATGAGTCAACAATGGTTCCTAGAACATTACAGAGTGACCCATCTTAAGCGCCTATAACCTCTGTTTGTTCTATTTCAACTCCTCGTTAGATATGCCATAGCGATAAGCATGTCTTATCTAGCAGTCAATATTAAGTTTATTATTGTCTTTTTTATTTGACCTTGGCTTACTTCGTATACTAAATGGTAGCATAGATTCTATTCTGACCGATTAAAATATATTTCTCCGGATAAAGTCTTTTGAAAGTTTTGAGATGCGATGGAGAATATTTTTAGCTGAGGAGGATGGTTTTGATGTTGTGTTGTCCGGGGATCTTGGTTCAAACAAGTTCAAGAAAACAATACTACCAAAATCTATCGAGAGTACTTGATGCCCAAAGTGTGGTGTCTTATAACGAAAGTTATATTTCACAGTAATTTGCTACTAGTGTAACTTACATGCAACGCTTACTACTATTACAGTAGTCATTATCAAGATTATGGATCCGATCTTTTCTTATTTATCCAAAAATAAGAATGAATTTTTGTAAAGCGAGATCATTTTAACTCATCACCTACTCTGCTCCATATATGAACGGATAATTTCTAGTTTATTGTTGATGTTTAGTTTTGATTTATGTCGTTCACTATTTGTTGTAACATTTCATGTTGAAAACCTTATGGAAGCAGTAAAGCGAATTTCAAGTGAAACGGATTTATTTATTTCAACCATTGAGATTAATCAAAATATAGCCTGTATCTTAAAGTGGTTCTTCACCAAGGACTGAAATCTATACATCCTCGTAAACCTCAAAAATGAATAACTTATACCTGGTATCAACTTTCGTCTCTGTATCAGATATTAGTAAAATTATCCCGTTAAATTTTGACCAGGATTCGTAATAATGTGACTAGCTTTTTCATAAATGACCACTGTCATTCAAATTCGTATTGCATTTAATTATACAGAAATAAATAAAAAGTAACAAAAAGAAATGTAGCTTACTAATTAAACATTATATTGTATTTTTCTGAATTTTTTCAATATCTTCTCCAGTTTAGTATAGTTTCTTGCCCATCAAAATCATTGAAATATTTGCAATTAAGACAATACAATTTGTAATTGTTATTGTTGCCGAAATTGATGAGATTTTATTGAAATGATTATTTTCTTTCGATATTTGACTTTTAATTGATCAGTAATTAAAATATGATTGATTCAGTTTGTATATCAATCAGCGTTACAGGTTGACTACTGACGTTGTTTCTCACTTTTATATAACTAACTATGGGATATTATTCTACATGACTATGAATAGAAATGCAGAGGAAAGGTGAAAAGAGAGTAGGCAACAGTGAATCAAAGACAAAGATTTTTAACCAATGATAATTTAATACACAGTTATCGTCTTTCACTCCATTCAATCCAAATAATGCTAAAAATAACAGTGATAATTGGGATATATATATATATATATATATATATATATATATATATATATATATATATATATATATATATATATATATATAAAATGCAGTTCAAGATCCCTCTTATAGTATAGCAGAAGCAGCTAGCAAGACAATGACTGGTTATTTGCAGTAAACCTTATACTAGTGGGAATGATATACACTTACATAGTTCAATTCCAATACTTTACATGCAAATGTATCTGTTGTCTGCATTTGAAGACAGTATACTTGTTAATGACGTATGCATTCATATTTGTTCATGTGTATAAAAAGGTTGAGGAAGAGAAAACAAAATACAAAAAGATGTAAAGAAAGAGCGAAAACAGAAGGAGAGGAAATAGGAGAAGAAGAAGTGACTGTGTATATTGGTGTGTGTGTGTGTATGTGTACATGAAACAAACATAACTTCCCTTATCAGCTGTGTTTTGCAAAGCTACATATGTTACCTATTTACAGGTGTGATGAGTGATAGTTTTTCTTTTCCGACGAAGAAGAAACAAATTTACTAGTTAGTTGTAAATTTCTTTATCTCTGTAGTTTTCAGGCAGAGGGACTATATTTTCAATAAGAAATGGACTTAGTAAAATATCTGCAGTTTGAGATGTTAGAGTAAAGACAAAACAAAATAAAATATTAGATGATTTATATCTGGAAGTTGATAAGGATTTCTTTTCAGGGGTAGTATTAGTGACGGACTGACGTCAGTTGGAGGACCATTTAAAACTTGGAAGCACTGAACATTAGTTTGTCCGAGTATTGAACGAAACAGCTTTTCAGTTCTCCCAGGTTTTCGATAGCTCTTAGACTTGTATCAGTTCGTGGTGAATACTACATTAAATTATTTTCTTCTGGTAATGAAGGAAAAATTTAGCGTATTTTCGATTAATAACGATGAGTGGAGTTAACTTCTGTTGTATTCTGTTTTAATGGACTGAATTGTTCAGCATAAACAGACGTCAGTCATATTTTGACGACAGTGCTAATGAAAAATTTATCGTGTGTACTAATAAATTTGTCTAATGTGCAGATGAGTTATTTGTAGCTGTCAAATAAAAAACTGAGATAAAGCAAAGAAGTAGTTATCTTCCCTACAAGTCATTGGAATATCGTTGATTCGACATCTTTTTCGATCAGGACTGTTGCTATTTTGCAAGCCATTCCTGGTTCGCATGTCGACTAAACATCAACAGTCAGTGGGCTAGTCTCTAATTATGCACATATGTACGAAGACGGTGTGCACAACGCTCTTACTAATGGAGACCCCGAAGCTCGGGGTATCTACCCTTACCTCCTTAGCAGCAACTGAAGTGAGCGCCCAGCCTGCATTATCCCACTAAGGCCGGCCGTATCTCAGATTCATCATTCAAATAATGACAATCCTTTCTCAACGGTTAAATGGTGAAACTGGAGCACTTCAGCCCTTGCTGCCTGAGTAGTTAACAGACATTGACTAGGTTGAAGAGCCAGTCACTGACTACTTCTGAAGACCCATCCCTCATACATAAGGCATGATGCAAGTTTCATGACTCTGAGCTTTCGGTAGCAGCTTCCGATGTAGTGAACAGGGTGGATATCAAAACTCATACCAGAGATATATGCAGGCGTGCTGATCAAAATAAAGTAATGAGTCATAAATTCGTTTCATTTAAATATATGTAAATTATAGGTTGTACTGCTGATTTAGCTAAGCTATTAGCCTGAAGTGATACAAACTCAGGCACCTTTTTATTTAATAAATGTTTTATATAGTTTGTGTGTATATGATTAGCACACGGCGATTTCTTCATAAAGCTATGAAACACTATCCCTGTGTTATGGTCCCACTTTAAATAATGTGGAACTATAGAGAACATGAGTAAAAGTGGTTGCTAATCAACCTGTCTCAGTTATTTCTTGCTGACTAAAACAAAAGTTTTAATTATCCTTTGAAGAGTTACGTGTATATTGACCATAATATAAGGTGATAAGTGATAAATATTAGCACAACAGCGATGAGTTAGTTGTCTTCGATATTGAAATGCTTTGATGAGTTCATACGATCACTGGGGCTTGAAAAAAAGGTTTTCACAGTTCACCAGAAGTTTATCGAATTAACTTCTTATTTACCACTCCTACACTTTATGCCATATTCTACAAGTGATATGAAAAAATGCTATAATTTCTACTTGTTGATTACTGAAAATCAGCATCTCAAAGAAAGTGGAGACTGTTTCAATAAAACACTTATTAGTATAACTAACAAGTATATCCAACTGAGCACAGTCATTGGACTCCTTCTAGGCTAAGCTATTTTCGCTTTTAATTCTTTTTTTATCTTGATTCAATCTGTCTAAGCTCATCGTCATCATCGACATGAATCACCTCATATTTATATTTAATTACTTCATATTTATGCAATATTATCCTGTTAGATTATCAAGTTCTCTACTGAAGGTTCCTGTATGTCATATAGCACAAACTTCTTAATAGAATTTGCCAAATGTTCAGCACTTGTGCCATGTCCTGATACCGTGCTACTCACGACCAGTTTCTGAATTTAAATCAAGAGGTTTCCAAAGTCATGAGGACAGTATGTTAACTTGGAAAACCACATATACGATAATCAAGTATGCAAAGTATGATTATCTATACTAAATGCAGTTTGACAATTGCTGATGTTAGATGTCAGAAAGCAACCAACAGAAAGCTCGAAAACTAGGTTCCGTCCTTTCTAGTCCTCATCAAGAAGATGCATATATGGCCATTAAGAAAACTGTATTCTCTTGGTAAGTGAAACCCGAATCACTCAGTGCTGATATAAAAAAACTTAGTTATTAAGCTATTAGGCCATTAAGGATAGATATTAGGACTTGATTAGTTACTCAAGTCGGTCAGCGGTGGTTAACCCATGGTATTACCCATCACTGAACGAATCACCAAGAGAACGCTGATTTCTTTATCGTTAGAGACATACCCTACTAATGAGAGCCAACAAGCATGAATTTTAGGTCAGTGATTTCCTGTTGATTAACTCTCACCATCTGATAACAGAAATCACGAATTCACTTGAGGTGTAAATCAATTCTATAGCTAATTTTCGAAATTTTAAGTAGGTTTTTACATATTTAGTGGTTTGTGTAATGGTAAATAATATGAAGTGGAGGGCCATTATTGCAAATTTCGATTGAAAATAAATATATTTTAACATAATAATACTTCCAATTTTCTGAATGGGAGCTCTTGTATTAAATAGATATGATTGAAGTTTAGAGATACTTCTGTTTGAAATTGTTTACAGTTGATTTTCACAATGAAAAAAGATTTTCTTGGAAAAGGTGATAGTCATAAAACATGTACTTTGTTTAAACAGATTTTATTCCACCTATTTGAAATCAAGGTCAATTTAGAAATTAACTTGCATATTTATGCGATTCTGCTGAATTCATTTAGATCAGATTTATGATATTTAAAGGGATTAATTACGAAACAGACATAAGTATGACTAGACCAAGTATGTAATGTACACAAATTTATCGTGAATGTTCGATAACACTCAAGTTACTTTTAAAAATACAAAAATCACATCGTTTTTATCGTTGACTTACAAATTACTTTTGATTAGTTCGTATTTTTTATATTTGCTGAAAATTATGTATTCTACAGTGAAGCCAAATGAGATCTAATTGGAAACGATACTGCTTGCTTGCATGTCTTGCTATAAGTTAAGTTATATACAAAAAGGATTTTTCGTCTTCTATTATGCTGTATGGAAACCATTTGATCTACTAATGCATGAAATAAAGCTGGTCAGCTTGTTTGATAGATGGACTGAGTATTACATAAGTTCCCAACTAAATAAGTCTGGCTTTAAAGTGAAATCTATCTACCAGACAGCTATCTTGCATTTGTTCACGACATCATAAATAAGAATCCTATTTGAATGAACTATAGGTGAAAGAGATTAAGGAATAAAAACCCGTGGAAACGGTCGTTTATCTAAGAAATCTAGTACAAACGTCGTCTGGGATGAACATTTTTGTCACAGATAAGAATAAAGTGAGGAATTCATGGAAGAATGATATCAACTTGGACTATAAAAAATGCGACATAATGAGGAGTCATTGAAAACCTGATCAATATTTAACAGCCAGTCTCAACAGGTATTCCAGTTTAATTTTCATGTCATAAATTTAGTTCCCTTGACAAATTCGAACAATACAAGAACAAAGACATTTGCAGAATAAAATGAGCTCATTTTATTTCAAGGCCTTTCATCAGCTACAAACAGCTCACAACTGAAATGGGGTATTATCAGTAATAATGGCATAATACACCTTAAATGTGGGGAAATAAATGGAGATTTGAAATGCAGGATTAGCAGTAAAGCAGTGAGTTAAAGAAACACAGGATGCAATATTATGAATCTTAATCAAAATCAACGGCAATTTGTTTGACGAGATAGAAAATTGTGGAGTTGTAGAGTGGGGGTGACGGACAACAAAGAAAAGTAAGCGTAAAAGGGAGGGGGAGGTTGTTGAAGGGCTAGTAGGTTACCTGAGTACTGGAATATCGTAAAGTGATTAACAGTCAGTAAATAATTAATGGGGAGATGGTGAAATCAAAAGAAAAACGAAGACTGTGTACATACATATGCAAAAGAATTGTGTACATTTACCGATGTAAAGAAAGGCTAATTACAGTCTCCTTCTGAGTATATAAGTCAGGTTGGAAATGTTTGATAGCGACAGCTTCCGCAAACCGTAATAAACATGATGTTCTTTGTTTACTGATTATCCTGAAAGGTTGAGAAACATCTATTTGATGTCCTGTGTTCATGAGATGTTTGGTGATTGCGCTTTTGAAGATATGGCTACCATTCTGACACAGATTTCTCGGGATATGCTTGTAAAATGAAGTAGACACCCTTGTTCCAGTCCGTCCTATGTACTTGCTTCCACAAGCACAGGTGGGTTGATATACACAATAGGAGGTGACGTGAAATGG